CCCCGTTCTCTTCAAGAGGGCTTATATTAGTTTCTTTTCTCATTCTCATTCTCTTTTATCCTCTTTCTCTTTTTATATCTTTTGAATTGACTCAAATAAATGATTTTATGACGAAAACTCCTTTAAGACCACCCTTTTGAGACTGTGCAATATTATCTCTTCGTCTCTTTTAATTTATTGCTCTTCATTGTCAAGAAGAAAAGTTCATGAAACTTCTTGAAAGAGTGAGAGAGAGGGAGAGATCTAACAGATATTCAAAGAGAGGAAGATTTTGAGGTTCTCATCTGTCTTATGCTCCAACCACACATCTTCAACTCGTTGTCTACTGCAAAGATGGTTAGATAACGATATTCTATTAGATACACCAGGCTGCCCTCATTCCATGAAATATAGACTTGAGCCATTGAATTAACTTGTCTGTCTCTCCCTCTCTAGCTTCGAACACTTTCTTCTTTGCTTTTTTGAGTTTAAACTTCTGAAATATGGAGACGTAATTCATTTTCAGCTTATATATTCCATTTTCAAGCAAAAAATGCACCAGAATCCGGGTTCTTTCTTGCTACACAAAGCTCTTGTAAACACAAATTCACAAATTACTCCATATTTTCTTTCGTTTTTTGTTAAAAAGAAAATGGTATCCAAATAAAGCCAATAAAGCATAAGCGGATAATTATGTGTGAAAAAGGGATTCTTTTGTGGCTAATCCATCGTCTACCTGTGTGTGTGTGTGTGTGTGTGAATGTTAAGTGGGCCTCTCTTAAGTAAGATTTTGTTATTATTTTTGTATGCAAGAGGTCAAACGAGAATGAGAACAAGAAGAAGATGGAAGCGTAAATGATTGGAGAGAATCAAAGGAAGAATAAAGTGAGGGAAAGCCTGTATGTGTCGTCATCAACTCAGATGTCAAAGCCAGAGAGGACGCCATATGCGCTTGAATACCGTTTGAAGCTATCTCATCTTCCTAATTAAGTTATTCCCTATAATTATATGTTTAAACTATGAACTAATTTACTCGTCGCGCATTGAGTATTACCTTATAAGAACATTAGCTGATTAGTCTTCGAATAATACACGATTGCGACAAGCTTTCTTTCCATTTTTGTTCATTTTCCGAACAGTCTGAGATTTTTGAAACATTTAGTAGCATATAAATCTTATTTTTTATGTAATTTACAACACATTTCACTCATTGGCAGCTTGAGGCGTTAAGGTCAGTATGAATCTGGCCTGAGCATTCCTAACTCTGACGCCTTTTTCTTTCTCTCTCTCTTCTTCACCTTCTAAGGTTCATGTATCTTTTTGGGATGAACAATTTATTCATCGAGAACTATTACATCACAATAATAAGTCGAAATCGTTTCGAGAACTTTTTATCCGCGAACAGCTCTCGTTTCCGATTATCAACTCGTTACACCCTCTCTTAACTACACTTCCCTGTTTTTTTCCCAAAAAATGAAACCATTGTAGTCTTTTCGTCATGAATGCTTGACGTTAGAGTTCATTATTAGTTCGAATTTTGCTAGTGTTTCATTGGGTTTCGTTTAATTAGCTGAGAAAACAGCAGCTGAATCATCTATGATTCAAACGCACCAAGAAGTCCGTGTTGATGACCACACGTGTTCTCAACAGACTGTCCAGAAGAGTGCAATTATACATTAAAATTACAATAATTTCCGATAATTATACAGATCCATTAGTGACTATGATATCGATCGCTTTTCTTTCATTTTTTTTGTTCGAATTCAAAGATTTCCAAATCTTCTCTTACTGGTACAACAACATAGACAGGAAATGAAAAAGATTCATTCCCGAGAACATTTGAAAGTTACTTCCGGTCAGAGAGAATGATGATGGTTGGAATTGAAAAAAAAAATAATAAAAAAGATTCTTCCCGACGATATTCTATTTTTACACTACAAAGTTACTGTATGTTCAAATATGGTACTCATCATGATCTTTAATTGATCAATAAAGGATATTTGTTTTTTGAAATTTTGAAAGCTGTTTACGCAATTAATTTCTTTCTTCAATTATTGATTAGTGCCTTTCCATAAAAATGTTTTTATTTCGTATTTAATTGAACATATTTTTCCTAAATATTAGTTATTCTTTATGCATAATTGACGAAAGTTTGTCAGCTGTCAAGCCTTACAATGCTGGAAGTATAACTTGACTTTGCCCAATTATGGGTACATTGGTCATTTGGGTCTCTTTTTTGTTACTCCAGCCTTCTTTCTCTCTCATTTTAGTTCTTTTCTCTCATTTAGTTTGCTCTTTTGTTGCTTTTCTTATATAGACGACTCTTTTTTACCCACTTTAAGTTCAATTCTGTGATATTTTCGTTGTTGCTATAAAGGAAAATCCTCCTTATTGCGTGTCCCAAACTAGCTGTTGGGAAATTGATGAGAGGCGCAAAAGAGCAGCTAATGTTTGATTTGCTTGCTCTTCCAAGCTGATTATTGCTATGTTGACGGCGCATTTTTCTTTTTTTACTAACTTCCTACTTGAAATTTTCATTCGTTTCCTTTTTGGCGCCAAATTTTGAGCGTCTGTTTCGCTTACGTGAAGAGATTTGCATACTCTTCATTCGCATACGTCGTTTTGCTCACGTGCAGCCACGTGAGACTCACATATTGGCTTCATTTCTAGTTGCAGCAATGCACAGAGTGGTTGATTACCACGAATGAAGAAGCGGTGTGAAGGTAAATTGTATTTTGCGAATTATTTTGTGTTGCATTTCTTGCGTTTCATTCTCTTGTCCTCATTAAATGCAACAAAAGCTTAATTACCTTAGCTCTATTTTATTTTTTGGCGACAGTTACCGAAGACAGTGGGTAATTTGTTATTCACTCATCATCTCGATGGTATGTACTCTATTGTGCAGTCCACAGTTTATGGATGCCTCATGGCCTTCGCTTGGCTTCTTGCCATCTGTCGTCTTGGTGCTGCCTTTTCTGAAGATAAGATCGTTGCATCGTTTTGACAATCTACTCTTATTTCCTTTATCCACCATTGGATTAAGTAAAGCTAGTGCGGTAATACAAGAACATGGAACACATTGTTGTATTAGAGAGTTTTCTTTATGAGTCTCTTGTGCTCTCATTTATGGTCTTAATGAGTAAGAAACGATACCTTTTCTTTCTATAGCTTTTGCTCATGGGTTTTGTTCACGGCTTTTGTTCACTTTTCCTCATTAACTTTACGTTTTATTACTATTTTCGTTTCCGGCAAGTTTTTTATTGTCCTTCTTTTCATCACCATCGTCAAATTATGCCTTTCTTCAACTATTACTTGTATTCATATTTGTACTATTCTGTTAGACTTTCACCACCACATCTGGCAGCTATCTTTCTTGTGTCATCAATAGTCATCCGAGTATAGTTTTACCATTTATTAATAAACTAGCATAGTGAGGGAGGGCATATACTTGTCAGGTGCAATCTCATGCCTGAGTTAATGCCATCGTTCATTCTAATTCATTCTGCCCAATTTTTGTGTCATTTCTGTCATTTATGATGTTCAATTTACTAGCTTCGATTGCCTAACTCATATTTTGAAATTTCATTGATATTATAGTTTGCAAGACTATTTGATTCTCATGCATGGTCAGAAGCTCTGCTACTCGAGCTTTATCATTCTGTTTCATCTTGTTTAATTGGTAATCCCTTAGGAATAATTGACCCATTGATGTTTTGAGATCGCGAAAACCCTTTGAGCATTTCAGCAGAGTCTCAATGAATAAAATTATCTGCGTTTTTGATACTTTCATTAAAACTGATCAATAGGAATTCAGCAAACTTCAGGAGAGTATAAAAAGACGTTTGAAGACTTTTAAGTCTTTCAATTTTAGTTCTTTTCTATCATTGTGTTGGAAAAGTTCTTCATCACGAATGCATTGAGAAGATGAATTTTTCTTCCCAAGGAAATAGCTTCTAAATATTGTCTCCACCATCCTTCTATAGACTTTGAGCTTCTTGATTTTTTAATTTGTTGATCTACATCCTTATTGCTTATGACCAAAAGAAACAAGTGAGCACATATAGTTCTATTTGTCTTCTAACCCGAAGCATAATTATTGCTTTTCCTTTTTGACTGCCCCCCACTGTGTTGAGAAGCGTTGTCGTTAGTTTTTGAATGTATTAAAAATTAAGCAGAATCAACTGTATTTCTTGGTAAGACAGTATGCATGTGTTAACTAGATGATGTTTACTAATTTTCATATAGTCATATAATACTATACTGTTTGTTGACTCATTTGTGATGTTAGGGTGGGATCTTGTAATGCTATACATTTCTTCCTTTCGTTCATATTTCTCTTTTTACTTAGAATATCTTGTAAAACACATAATGATCATCAATAATTATGATGACACTTTTTAATTTCTCATCCTCATGGTATTCTTTTGACACTGCGTTGATTTCAATCATATATTTCCATTTCATTCTAATTTATGAAAATTTCTTCACATATCCATATCTACATTCTTGCGCGGGATTATGAAATACTTTAGAATATCCATTGTTAATGACATTCCTTATGAAAGCGTGGGAATCTATCATAGATGGTTAAGACTATTTCGTTATCCGACGTTAAAAGTCATCATTTCTTTAAATACAAATGTTTGGTTTTTTTCCGTTATGTGCATCTCGCTTTCTTGTTTTTCTTCTGGTTTGCTCGTTTCAAAAATCTTATCTTCACTTTTTGTACCTACTTCTCATTATCCTTAAGCTTGTTCACAAGCACTTCTTCAATCGGTGTGTAAATAATTGTCATTTTACACTATTTTTTCATGCTGATGGTCATTAACCATTACACATTTATGATAAGATATCTAAGGTGGTCATAGAAAATTTGAGAATTCTCTTCTTCTTTCGTTGAGACTTCTCGCAGTAACCTTTCCTGAACTTTTTATTTGATCTTTTTCATATTTCTATACTGTTTTAAACGATTGATTCTTTTATAATATTTCAATTCTTATTCTTTTCAGGTCGTTTTCGACATGGGAAGTGGCAACTGTGCCACTTCGGCACTTCTAATAATTTTATTATGCAACAAAGGTTTGTAGAAATTTTCATTTAATTATAAGTTTTCATCGTACATTCTTCTATTACTCATTCAACTCAAATTTTACTGGTTTCAGTTGCTTCCATCGTTGATTGGAATAATATTCAAACACCCCCAGTGTTCGTTCACCAACCGAACGAGAGAAAACTTTATTTTAAGGTTATCAGTTCACCATTTTCGCCACTTATTTTAATTTTCCAGATTGAGTCCCAGACAGATAACGAAAACGTTGATGCCTCAGCTAATCTGCTCTCGCTTACAATTAGATGTAATGCAATTGGAAATCCTAGACCAACGTGAGTTTATATTGAGAAAGCAATCGCTAACGAAATATATCTTCGTTATTCTAGTTATTCTTGGTACAAAAATGGGAAACCCCTTCCTTTGAGTATGTACGAAGGAAAGATAGCTCAAAGACCAGGGGAAGGTAATTTAGTTCATCAGGATGCAGTCATGTCTTTTTTGTTTTATAGGAACATTAGATTTTTCGAAGTTAGAAGAATCTGACGTAGGAGAGTATAAATGTATGGCAAGTAATGATAATGGAACTGCTGTCTCTGATGTGACCCAACTAGAATTAGCTTGTGTGTTTTTTTCTTTTTTTCATTTTTCAAATGTTTGAGATATATTTATCATGCTCCGGTTGTTCAGGGATTCGCTCGTTTCCACAGCAGGATGTAGAAGTGGTCAAAATTGAACTAGGGGATTCTTATATTCGTGATTGTGTTCCTGCCGGAAGTAACCCCCCTGCTAGGTATTTTCAGTCTTATATCTTAACTGCTAAATGGTCCCTTTGCAGAGTCTTTTGGATTTTGAAAGGTGAAAAAAGAGGAGTTTTCCACACAGTCAACGGGAGCCATATTTCTAGCAATGATAACGTGAGTTCTTTTGTTCTCAAAACTGCCAAGTTATACGGGATGAGCTTAGTCTTTCATTGCCCCAAATTTATTCAATTACTCCGAAATACATGTAGGCAACCTTTCACATTTTACGGACCACCTGCGAAAAGTAAACATTGCTATCAAAAGCCGGTTTGTCAGTATATATTCGACGCATTGAATTTTTTCCCTACAATTTACTATAAAAGTTGAAGAGAATGCCATGCTTGCGCGAGCGAAAAAAATTTGAGGTTTTTGGTTTTTGAAAATAATGTTAGTAGTATTCTAATGTAGCCCCTTGTCCCCCAGACCTCCTCTCATTTGAGCTCTTTTGTCCATTCGATATTTGGATGGTTATGATCTCTTATTTTGAGAAGAACGCACACTCTTACTTTTCTTTTGACTTCCTTAAGGTGCTTTGAATAGAGGTTATTAATGTAAAGGTAGAATCAATGAATTCCGCCTTTCAGAGGTCAGTAGGGGTCCGGCCTTGTCGCGGAAGTGGCAAATACCCGTCTATTACAATTATTCATACCTGCATGAAGAGATAGTCTAAGACTTTCGTGGACAACCACAGTTGCATCTTAGTCATGACCTAAAACTTATTAGGAGAGCAGTAGATCTTTCTTGTTTTGTTTTTGAAAGTTGAAGAAAAAAGTTTCTTCATTTTTCACTGGGTGTGTTCTGCTTCACTTGTACACTTGGTCTGTTCTTATCGATGATTGCATGACACATGGTAGCAGGATTGCTGACCCAAAACTTCACAATCGGAAATATAATTGTTCAGCCCTGTACATAGTTGCAGAATTGAGTTAACTCACACGCTGAAGTTAGAAACGCAGACGATAATAGCCAAAGATTTTTCACTATTTGCTTATTTTAATTAAAATGTCAAAATCGTTCGCGCAGTGAACAGGGAAGCATCTCGGAATTCTGGGTGAAGAAAGCAGTAACCAGATGTATCTAATGGGTATTGTTATAAAGATGCGATGCTTCAATGAATGATTGCTGACGTTTGAGGTTTCCATGGCTGTTCTCTCTTTGAAAGCCTCTTTGGCCCGTTCAGCGGTTCAAACCCATCAAGATGGGCACCAACAGAAAGAAAAAGCTGAATGTTAGCTTGAAAGTGGTTGGCAGCGGCTATGAGAAATAAAAGCGATGACTGGGAAGAGAGGAGAGTGAGAGACTGAAGGGGCGGGGCGCGCTCTGAGCTCTGCCGTGTCTCGCTGCCTCGCCCCCGGCCGTCCACCGCCGCCGCGTGTTGTTCGTCGACATCGTCGTTGGTTGTGTGTTTGGGGCAGAGAATCAATGCCTACTGCGCTTGCAATTTCTTCAATCGGCTATTCCGATTTTAACTGACCCGTTGCTGTGAAAGCGCACGGCTTCTAACGAGCTGCCTGGCAGGTTGCCGTACACCCACCCTAAGTACAATCTGCGGCTTTTTCGACTTAATTTAGTTTCAAGCAGGTTGTATAGTACAACTTAGGATCCTATTCTCACCTATTCAGGTCTATTAACTATTGAAATTATTTTTTCTGTGATTAAACCAATCAACAACAACTGTTGCTAAAGCGTGTTATACTTTATTCGAATATCTTTAATTTGCTCATCCCGAAATGACTAGGCACTCTGGGGTTTATTCATTTTGCAGCTTTCTGCTCATTTTTTTAATTCTGGTACGTTATGAAGGTTCCTTACATTTAGGGAACTTTATACTTCCACTATGTTAAAGAAGATGATTTAAAGGAAGAGGGTTTACTTTATACTTGCACCGCTGAGAACACTGAGCTGAAAGAATATAAATTTGGATCTCCATTCAAATTGGAAGTTACGAAGACTGTTCGTAGACAATGTAAGTTTAAACATTTTTTTATGCTCAATGCCTAACGCGACAAATTGATTTCCTAAATCTGTATATTACGTAATTACACGGTTCTACTTGTATTTTGTGGTTGCCGACCTTGTGCGACGAAACCGGAAAATAGTTGTCCTGTGAATCAATTTCCTGTTTTTTTTTTCATCACGCATTCTTATTTTCGAGTTGAAACGTTTTTTTACATGGAGAGAGCAACTTAGAATTTGTATGTTTTTTAGCATTAGAAAGTACTAGAGTCCTAGAAAACGTTTTCTATTTACTGTTATCGATAGCATCGCGTCGACCAGCATGTTTGTTTTTCGAGAGAAGTTCACCAATTTGAAGTTGCATAGAATGTTAAGATGATAGTGACCATTTCTTTTGGGTGCTTGATGCCGTTTCAATAGAAATATGAGATTAAAGAAATATTATGCAGCTTAATCATAGCTTATGCGACTGGTCATCTTATCACTAAGTACGTAATATGCATTGAGAGGAATGGAATGGAAGAATTTAAGAGAAGATATATTCTTTGTGTATGTTCTTTTGCAAAATGGGTGACAGATGTCCTATGCTTTTCAAATTTTTGTTCTCTGTCAGTCCAGATTTCGTAGTTGCGGCTTCCACGCTTGATTTCAAAACTTTTTTTGAGCTCTTAGTTGAAAGAGTTGGCGTTTTCTTTGAACAATAGTTAAAATAATATTGATTTGTCTCATTGATGCTTCATGTGGCTGAGTATAATCTTTGATATAACAGAAGCTATGAGCAACAGATTTTTTTCATAGCGTTTAACGGATTTGAAGATGCAAAATATAGGGATTAGAAAATGATGGAAGGGTCGTTTAGTTCAGCAGATTGAAGTATGCTTTCTGTGTTCCTGGTTAGGATCAAATTTCTTTAAGTAAATCTATGCGTTTTGAAGCCAGCTGTTTCTTTCGATGTTTATTTCCACTCTGGGGCACTCTGCTGTTGCTTGTTCTTCTGTTTAACATCAAAACAGAAACAGACTATAACAATTGAATGATTGAAAAATATGTTTCACTCTTTTCTTGCATGAGAATCTGGATTTTGCATATCTGCATCAGTCAGGCCTCCTCCAATTATATTGTTTTTCAAGCCTGTTGTCCACTATGTTTTCCGGTAGCTAGGTTGAGTCGTTCAACCGCGAAAAGAGCAATATGGCTAGTGTGACCCTATTTGGCCGGCAGGCATGATGCATTTTTCTAAATAAATGGGCTGGCCCGAGAGAAGACAGGACTAAAAAGATAATTAATTTCCTCCGATGACCGAATGCAATACGATGTTCTTAACATTTAATTTGGCAATTTTGTTACAATTCTAGTTATAAGAAATAAAATACATTACAAGTTACTCATATAAATTTTAATTTCAGTGAAAGGATCTCAAAAAATTGCTCCAGGTGAACAATATGTTAACCAAAGCTCCCCTATAGCTCTGCAGAACACTTTTCACAAACTTCATTGTTTCTTCTCTGGATAGTGAGTTTTCTTTTAAGTTTTTTTTCATTTTTATCCCGTTTTAAATACTTAAGTTCTGATGAACAACTACATGTTTATTCGAGCTTTTGAAGCTTCTGGAAGGGCTCTGTAGCCCGGAAGGAAGTTGCATGGGGCTTGTCAGGGGTGGATTATCGGACTTCAATCTTCTTCCAAAGAAAGATTTCATGACATTGCATAATGAGATATAGTTTGGGTCGCTTCCTTGGCTAGCATAAATGTCTTTTGGCTAAAACAGAAACATTCTATTTTATCTCTAGTTTATTTGGGGTTGGATTTCCGTCTGTTTTCCACGTTTTGCTTAGGAAGGGCTGTTTGAAAGGAACACTCAATTGATTCGTAGCTCCTTAGTAGTTTCATAGTTTGAGTAGGAAATATACGAATTTCGTTGTGGTGCCATCCAACGAGGCAGCCTTGTTCTCCTCGGGGACATCGAAAAGTCATCAAGACTAGCCGATAGCAATGGCAGTGGCTGTGTGTCACGTCTTTCATTGGAAAAGAAATGACCATTGTAAAAGATGAGACCAAACTAAGGATTCTTATGAATATTTTCGGTTAAAATAGTATCAGAAGTACTGAAATATATTCTGGATTCGTTTTTTGTATTGTTGTTGTATTGGTCAGGGGGCGACTGCTATTATCATTGAATATTAATGTTTATTCCGACTTGATGAAATCTGTCTGTCCGGCAGCATCAGTCTTCCGTTCGGGAAGCGAGCTATACATTACGTGTTCAAATATACTATTCATGAGGTTATTGGTGGGGTTAATTGATAGAAGATTAGTGCTACATTTTCCGAACTAATTTACTTCTTTACTACTGCCTTGTATAACGCATAGTTGAGGTTAAACGACAGCCTTTTAAATGCCATTTTTCTCAAGGTGATTCTATTTTGCGTTCAATAGTATTCTTAAAGTTAGGAGAAGAATAGTAGTAAACAGATAAAATAATATGTTTATTCTTTGCACATTACTATTTGATTCAAATCCTTCCTCGCGGAAGGTAAATTTGTCAGAGCTTCACATTCCATTTTGGGATGAGATATTGATCATCTATGAATGCAATTTCGCGAACGACGGCAAGTCTTCTCTCATTATCGACGTTTCGTCGTTATTGACGCTCAGGTGCATTTAGGCTGATGACTGGCATAAACGCGTAAATACCAAATTAAGTATAATTAAAGGGTGGACTATTAGCATAATCCGGCAGTTTATTATCCATTCTCTCTTGAGGTGATCTGTTTTAACCTTATCGCCGCTGAATTTCCGACTTGAAAAGGGAATTGCGAAATTTTGTGGTATGTCATTGGTCTTTCCTCATTCTAAGAAGAAAAATGAGAAATGCCTATAAAACAGACTTGAGTTAATATATTCTCATACCCAAATGGTAGTTTCGCAATATGAATATGTTTCCTGAATAGGGTCCGATATATTGAAACATGAAATGCTTCAAATTACAATCAGTTTTATGCTATCTTTTCAGTCCATTACCAAAACCCACATGGTTTCATAACGGAATAAAAATCGATGAAGACAAATCTGAACATTATAGATTTGAAGCTTTCGGAAAAACATTGGTATGACTCATTTATCTTTTTCTTCTAAAAATTTTTCTAGGTGTTCAATGTTACACAAGAGAGAGCAGGAAAGTACGATTGCCAGTTCCCTGACCATGATTCTTTGGATAGAACGTTTAACGTTGTCGTTGAGGGTTAGTTTTGAATATATTATCAACTGCTCATCCTCATCATGGAAACAATCATTATTCATTGCTCCAGCAAGTAATGAGATGAAAATAGATATTAATGGGGATATACTCTTTCACCCTCATGAGTAATGAGAAGAAGCTCGAAGCAAATTAAACATCATATTAATATTACGTTTTCATATTTCTCAGCTCTATTTATAGTTTTTTGAAACGTTTCATCCGTAAACTTTTTCAGCTGCACCATACTGGCCTGACGGCCCACCACCACATACCAACACTAGCGAAGGTGACACAGTTACTTTCGACTGTACTACAAGTGGAAAACCCGTACCGTTAGTTACTTTTTACAAGAATGGAGTCGGTCAGTTTTATATTTACTTAATCTTGAAAACGTTCCACATTCAGAAATGGTTGAAAGTGATGGACGCAATGGAAAATGGGTGATCGATGGTAACAAGCTCACTATCTATGATGTCAAGAAAGGAACAGGCGGAAGAGGAGACAATGCTGTCTATCAATGTAAAGCTGAAAATAAGCATGGTTACGTATGGGCCAATTTCTTCCTTAACTTGCTTGGTATATCTTTCTGCAACTGAATTTATATGACGGCCAAATCGTTATAGCTTATAAACCGCAGCTCTTGACTGATGCAGGAGAAGTAGAGGCCGTTTCTGGCCAGTCAGTTACTTTGAGCTGTGAGTTCTTCGCTAGTCCTAACGCCAATATCTCATGGAACAGTCCTAAACTGCAGGTAGCTCTTTCACAATAGTACTAAAGTTATAAGTAACCATTGAAGGGAGCGGAGCACGTTCAAGTTCCAGCTAACGCTCACGGTGTAGGGAAACTTGTTATTAATAGTAAGCATTCCGAATAATTTATTTTCTAATCGAATTTTTGTAGATGTGAAATCTGAAAATGAAGGAGAGTATGAATGTGTAGGTGTAAATAAATACGGAGAGGCTCGCGGTAATGCACGATTACTTGTTAGAAGTGCGTATTGTAATGATTGTTATGTTTTCAAAGACACTTGTTTCAGAACCAACAAGATTGCTACCATTCCAAAAACCAGAAGAAGTTTTCGCGGCTGGTGAACCCTTCAGACTACCATGTGAGGCCACTGCAGATGATAAGCTAGATATCAAGTACGAATGGCTGGTTAATGGTGAACCATTGTTGGAACCTCATGTAGAATCAGGACATTATACTGTAATCTTAAATTTCTTTAATCTTTCAAATTTTATTGTCCTAGGTCGAAGCCGATAACACCTTAGTTGTTAAAGACCCCAGTCCTTACGATTCTGCTAAATATAAATGCATTGCTAGCACTAAATTGGATAAAGTAGAGAAGGAAGTGTCTGTACATATCAAAGGTTGGAATAGAGTATTCTTACAAGGTTAAAAAGCTCTTTGAAGACGTTCCTGTTCCTGTTGTGTCAGCTAAACTAGATAACTGTGCAGCACAGTCAGTAGAAGTTAAATTCCAACACCAGGAGCCCTCTGACACCATTTCTCCTGTTACTGAATTCTGGTAAGATTTTCGAAGGATTTTTCGATATATCATGTTGCTCGGTTTTCAGGATTCATTACCAAATTGACCCTACAACCGATGGTAATCAGTGGAGAACTCATCCAGTCCCTGTCTATGCCAAAGATAAAGATCCCATCATAGACGGCATCAGAACAGTATCCGGCTCAGCAACAATCGCTTTGCAACCATATGGTCATGTATGTGTTCCGTCTTATACCCGCCTGCAGTTTTGTATTTGCAGTATATTTTCCGCGTAATTGCTCGAAATGCTGTTGGAGATAGTGCTCCAACTAAAGCAAGCGGACGTTGTGATACTGATCCACGCCAACCTGATCGAAATCCTATTTTCGTAGGTGCGCGTGGTGCTAGTCCAGAAAACATTATTGTAAACTGGAAACCAATGGGCAGAGAAGAGTGGAATGGTCCAGATTTTCACTATCTTGTCAAGTAGGACATTTTTTATTATTCTTATCATAATGTTCATCATATTTACAGGTATCGACCGAAGGACAGTCGCGAGGAGTTCAAAACTATTCCCGTTCGAGATCCTTTTGCCGACAAAGTGACAGTTAATGTTGACGAAGATGATAGTGATGCCAAACCATTCCAACCGTATGAGATTCAGGTATGGATAAATGAACATAAACTGAGGGACTATTCTTTTTAGATTCAAGCGGTAAACTCTGAAGGAGTAGCGTTGGTAGAGCCACAGATTGAGGAGGGTTACACAGGTGAAGGTGTCCCAAGTAGTATTCCTACAGGTTTTAGGCTTGTTAGCACGGTAAATTCTTGATATTAATAATTATGTTATACGAAAAAATACAGGAGGGAACATCTGCAACGTTTGCTTGGAATCCTGTAGATCCTCAATCTGCCAATGGCAACTTCAGTGGATACAAAGTGTGTTTGACTACTTAATTCTTAGCTACTTTACATATTTAGGTTACTTATTGGCACGATATCGCCGATGATGAAGAATTTGAAGAAGATGAGGAGGAGGAAATAGCTGAAGCAAGATATCGCCGGAATCATCATACTAAGGTTAGATGATATCTTTGCATACAGCTATACATAGAATGTTTTAGCGAGTGAAAAGACAAGCCATTTCTAAGCAAAAAACAGCAATTTTTGGACCCTCATCCTCCACTGGTGTCATCACTGATCTAAAACCCGACACTGTCAACTATGCTACGATTCAAGTTTGCTCAAAAATCGTTATTATGTTATGTTTCATTTTTTTCAGGTTATAAACAATGCTCACGACGGCCCTGCTTCTGAACCAATACGTTTTAAAACAGCAGAAGGAGGTTTGGTTATTTTTGTTTCGCTTTTTATTTTTTTTTAGTTCCAACTGCTGTTCGTAATCTCCGAGCTTATCCTATGAATCCCAAGAGCGGTAGCGAAAGAGGGGTAGTAGTCCTCTTGTGGAAAAAACCCCGCCAGGCTAATGGAAAAATTCTCCACTATATGGTCAGAAGAAGCCCATTCATTAATATTTATTTGCTTTTTGTTTAGGTCAGCCATTGTAGATCTCAAAATGGTAAAGTCATTGAAAAAGATTGTCCGAAAGAAGAAGTTTCACCTGACAAAAAGCAACTGCGTGTATCAGGCTTGGAATACGAAACGGAATATCAGTTTACTATTCGAGCTCACACTAGCGCTGGTGAAGGAGATCCCAGCAGCAGTAAAGCTTCCACTCTGCCGGAATCCGTTACATCATGTAAGTTTTCATCTTATAGCGCTATGCTCTTGCAAGTGCAAGCTTTCCTTGATTTTTATGCCCTCATTTCGTTTGATCTTTTTGGGATTGTTGGATGAGGGAAAAAGAGTGTTTCTAAAAAAGAGAGAACATGTTGACGCTCACCTAGAGCGAGCGCTGCAAGGGGCGTGGCATGAGGACTCAGCTGGCTATTGCCTATCGCCCTAATTCCCCTCAGCACCCTCTGTCTATCTATACACATTCAGTTATTCTTATATACTCCATAGGCAGTAGAATATGAAGAATACTGGTTTTACGCTTTTTCGAATATTCTCGCTGCTTTTTCTAGTTTCATTCATAAAAACTCAAGGTAATTGTTTAACTTAGAGTTCTCCAAATGGCCAAAGACTTATTCTGAAGGTTTTTTCAAAAAAATTTATGAATGTTTTCTATATTCATCGCTCTTGTTTTCCCAAACCTTTTCGACTTGATACTCTCAGGACATTTCCTTCTATTTCGCTTTAATTCGTTATTGATAGAAGTAGTGTCGTTCTTGAAGTTCTTGCTAGTGTTTCAAGTGTCCTTCTTAACTATTTCCATTAGTGAAGACTCGGAAATACTTTTAAAGAGTAAACTAACAACCTCATCTTCTCCAATCTTGCGCGAACAATGAAGACTACAGAGAAAGGTTTTGGCATTTTTTGTAGGGTAGATAACGATTTGAGGAACAAGCCTTGTTTCTAATTTGATTGTGTCTGGTTGCAATAAAGTGGTGAATGAAGAAGAATTTCGAGGCATTGGTTAACAATTTGGTATTTTTCCCATACCATATGTGTTTGTGCGTATGTGCTGACCGAGATTACCACTTAGCAATCACGTAGAGAGCATCCATGTTAGAAAGGGGTCTTTATGACAGGTGGCTAGTATGCAACCTATTGGGACCACTCATCTGCCGATGTGTGTTTTTGTCTATTTTGGTCGCATATGGGGGAAATTCATTATTATTCAAGTCATTTCACCAATTACATTTTAAAAAGACGGACCTAATTGAATTTCTTTTGCAGCTGATCCGGGTGTGCCAACTTTCAAGGAAGATGATATAGGAAATGATTTCTTCAACGTTACTTTCTTCCCATCTGATTTTGACAAAAAGGTATGTAGTATTGCACCCCATCGTTTAAGTAAAGAAAATCTCGTTCAGACGAATGCTCCCGTAGGTAATCATTTCCTTATCCAATACAAAGAATCCGACAGTGATGACTGGAAAGAGTATCGACCCGAAGGTTTGCTTGTAATTAAGTTTAAACAATCTATGATTTATTTCTAGGAGATGATTTAACGGCGACAGTAGCCGGATTAGTTCCTGGAACTGAATATGACGTACGAGTAGCAGCTTTGCAACGAGATGAAATGAATAATGAGTTATCGACCTTCTCTCAGATAGGTCACATCACTACAACTGGACGATGTAAGTTTTAATTTCTTTGTATTGAATGTTGTTTGGCTACCCGGAGGGAAAATATTGAGGGATAGGAAAAGAGTAGATAATAGTATATAACCGTGTCTTTCTCTCTCTCTTTCCCGTTAGCTAACTATGCATTTAGTTAGCTATCCCTTTATGCGATTCTTAGTTTTCTTTTCTCATCAGTTGATTTCAGCACCACGACAGGCTCGTCTCTGGCTTTTGTTGCTGATCCTATTGATTCTGCTCCTACTATTGATCATATTATGCATTATTTGTGTAGCTATGCGACATAGAGGACAGAACTATCCTGTGTCAGAAAAGGAGCGTGAACAAGGCAGAGAACCAATTTTGGGCAAGCAGCACTTCGGAGAATTCAGAAAGTGAGCCTACTTCTTTGCGGGACTTTGTTCTCCCACTAAGCATAGTTTGCAACAATTTTACATGTTGTTTATAGTGACGACGAAAAACGATCATTGACCGGAAGCAAGGCCGAATCAGAAACAGATAGCATGGCCGAATATGGAGATACAGATCCTGGGCGTTTTACTGAGGATGGTTCATTCATTGGTAACACTTCCTTTCTCTCAAACACGGATATTACCATAATCTACTTACAGGCCAATATGTACCTCAAAACAAGTTATTACCAGCTGAACGTCCTGAAAAGGGTAGTACTTCTACGTTCGTCTAGAAATTTACGTTTTCTGTTTTTTACAATCATTTATTATAAAACCCAGTGCTCTTTGCTTCGACTCTGGTCGTTTTTCTCCCGGTTGAACAACATTCCCTACATGAAAATTTTGTTTAATGCAATCGGATCGGGTAGTCGCTAATTTGGCTGTCTCGTGTCTTTCTTTTCATCTTTTATGTTGGTAATAAGTGCTGAGGGATTGTAGCGGAATATCTATATATATTTATTATATATATCACTGTTTTTTGCTATCATCTCTTAGGATTATTGATCTTCACGATCTTTTTGGATCGGTTGCTTTCCGTTGCTATCTCTCACTCCTTTTGCTCTTCTGCCATACAGATCCCTTATTCATGAGAATTCTCCTTGTTCCTAGTGAACAAGCTTGTTCTGGTTTTTTGATACATTAGGTTTGTGAAGTTTTGCTTACTCTCTATACGTATAGTGTATGGCGTGATAGACAATTTTAAGTTTAACTTAGATAAATCGTGCCCCGTTGGCCATTGTAATAATTTGTGGTTTGCCAAAATTGAAAATAGATGATTAAGATCAGAATTTGTAATGACGACCACATAGAAGAACTGTTACAAATGCATCGAACTACGAACCGAATTGAGAAATTGTTTTTTCTGTCATACTAACGATTTCATGAGCTCCTTTCAATTGTATTACGCATTTGATACTAGTGAAAGCCTCATCCATTTTCCGATTTGTTTGGATACATGCGTTCCAACTAAGTAACAGATGCTAAAGATCCAGAAGGCTATAGATTTCTAAAAGTTTTATTTGTCTCACACACACTATTCTACTCTGTGTTTCTTCTGTGTCTTTGTGGTAGTAGCATGCTCATTTCGAGACATTTAATCTTATTTGGCTTTATCTATTGTATCTCTTGATTTTAATTGCCTTCTGATTGCGTATGTCTCGTCCAGATCATGTCAAACTAAACTAGTTAATATATATGTTACATATATTATATTATATGAAAAGATTTTGTGATTCTAAATACTATTGGTGTGTATTATTGTCTATTATACAGTTCGATCTCCGGAAGTTTGAGAACGAACTTTTAATTCTTGATTGTTGTCGCCTCTCTTCATCCAAAGAGTTGCTGTGTTTCTTAAACTTTGTTATAAATATTGCTTCTTCCTTGTCTATCTGTTCTTTACATCAAACTTTCATACAGGCTGTGATAAAAAAAGGAAATGTGAAGCTCGATAATTCTTAGTGTGGCTTCCGTATTAGTATATAGCTACGGAGTGTTTTTTTCTAAAGCAGGCTAGAGGCTTATTGTCAACAGAGGTGGTGGTGGTCGAGGCTCTGCTACCTTGGTAACGTTGTAAAAAAATTTTTTTTGGCCTGCCTTCGAGCATTAGTCGTTGGGAATTCCTTTGAATGGATTGTTTATGTTTTGATTGAAGTGAAAAGATGGAATGAGAGAATGATGGGTTTATAAAAGACTAAGATTGACAAAAACAATAAAAATATTGAATTAGAAACCGTACATAGGCAGAGTTCAAACAGTTAAAGTATGATGATGATGATGATGATGGGATGTTGTGTAAAAACAGAAGGTATTATGCACTTGGTGTGTGTTTGCGCTTGAAGATAAAAAGAGAATTTCTTGGAGAAGCTCTTTTCATAGATGAACATGAATTAAAAAGATTTCTGTTAGACGGTAAGAACGTGGAATAATACAATAGGATAAGAGCAACGTGTTAATCTAGTTTTTGTGTGGAATATAATAAATATATAAATATATATTACATTAAGATTTAAAGAATCACAGTACATTTTTGGGTAAACATGGGAATACCAGCACGAAGAAGGGGGGATACGTCTCCTAGAAACTATAACAATACAGAGATAATTCTAGCCGTTCAGGCAAGATCATGATAATATTGAGAGAGAGAGAAAGAGAGAGAGAGGGACAAAGTAAGAGAGAGGGACAGAGATAGAGAGAGCAAAAGAGAGAGGGAAAGAGACATTGTTCTTCTGAGCATGAGAAAAAAAAATTATGTCTTCAGCCATATTCGGACTATTTTGAGCTCAGAAAATCTACGTCTCGATTAATTCTCTGCTTATTGTCATTTACAAAAAAGATTTTGTATTGAGATGATAAGGATTTGCATTTTTTGTCAACGATTTTGTAATGAGAAGAAGAAGAATGCGTGCGAAGGAAAGGGAGATGGAAAGTTAAAGGAAATTGTATAATGACTAGGATGAAAGTATCGGAAGATCAAGAAGGTACAGCTCACAACATTGTTTAAGCTTCAAGTCCATGCAGACAATCTGCTAATATACATTAAGCCTACAGTACTAAGAGCCGATCATGGAATTTTTCAGTTGAACATGTGGAAAGATAATAATCTTCCAACTCAATGGAATTGAATGTACAAGTAAGTTATCTAGTCAGTTTCTATGACTTTGAATCTGATAAATAGAAATGTTGGGATAAGAAAAGCCTGGCATAGCATTTTCGTACTAACGTTTGGTTTGAAAAAGAAATGTTTCAAGGTTAAGGGAGTCAGATAGCATATACAGTTGGTTTTGATATTCTGTGAAAGGAGATGAATAGAGATGAGAAAGCCTATGGAGCCGTTTCTTGCTTCACCATCGTAGCTAATGGCGTCAAGCCTTCTGCGGCTTTATCACTCCGCCAATCAGTTCGAGGTTTTCGGTTTGGGTTTGATAATCGCTTGGAAATGAATCGAAGGACCTGAATATAATGGAAAATAAGAAAATGAAGCAAATTATCAAAACAAACCTGCTTTCGACTCAAATCACATTTTTGTTCAATGTCCCTCATCTCCTCTTCGGTTGGATAATGACCGTTGTTGATGACATCCTTTATGTATTCGCGTTGCCATCCCTTCATTCTTGTCTGAAACTGTAGCCAAAAATTGCTTGAGTTCCATTTTGCACAATCCCTCTTAAGGGTAGATCTTATTCTTTATTTTTCATAAATGAGAGAATAAGAATAAGAAGAAGCTTTTAAGGAGTTTTACGATGATTTTTAAAATTCTACTTGTTCACATAGAATTCGTGAGAGAATGTAATGCAAGTATTACCATTTGCTTGAATTGAGGTGTAGCTGTGCGAAGTGGACCTCCATTTCCAGTAGTGGGCGAGTTGCTGTCGCGATGATCGTTTGCCCATTCTTTTGTAATTGGTAATGAATGCTGCAAGAAGAAAGTAATAACTGGAATTGTGCTAAACAGCACTATTTCTGATTTGAAAAATAACAGAAAGAATCTTTTGAATACAATTTTTCGTTTGTTCGTTTATCATTCTCGATGTACGAGAGGGAAATGAGTAAGCTTTTGGCTCAAGCCCGACAATCAAGAAGTCAACAACGATAAAATTTTGTTAAAGAAAATATTTTGTTTGAACGAACAAATTCACATGGTATTTAGTTAATTTTAAATAATAGAAATGAATAAAAAAAATATTTACCGTTGCGAACAAGTTGCTCAACAGATCTGTGGAAGTGGCTGATAAATCCAACTGCAATAGAAAAATAAATGAAGGATTTGACTATATATGGAAATATTTTTTTTTTCCGGATAAAACGTCATTTTGAGATTTCTACATGTTCTCCTTAGAAGGAAGTAGTTGACATATAAATAAACAGAAATTACTTCAGGATCCGGTGGTAAAGAATTGTTCTGATCTGTATTTGCACATAGTAAAGCTATCTGGTTGCTGAGATTTGAAAATTTCGGTTCATCTGATGGAGATTGAGGTGTTCCACTTATGGAAAAACGATCTTCGGATTCTGCTACCTGTAAATGGCTTTATTCGGTAAGACTAGATAATACTTTTTTTTTAAAATATATATTTTGTTTCCGTAAAACTGTTAAGCACGTGAGTTATATAACTACTGAGGGTGTGTGGGTGATTGTGAGCAGAGAGGATAAAGGATGTGAGGTCACTCGTTGAAATTCTTATTTTTGTTCTTTCGTAGATATAAGACAGATTAATTCTTCAGAATATTAACTTTCTATTCAGATGGCTTTCATTCTTTCACAAAATCTGCAGAGATTAAATTTTTATTTTTTCCCTCTCCAATCTTTTTGTCCTTCGCTATTGCTTTCACGAGACCTTCACTCCCCCCTTCTCTCTCTCTTTTCAAAAAAGATAACAGCTTAATTTATATATTTTACTTGTATAACTTCATAATATGAATGAACGATATTTCCTTACACTTCAATATGTGCTAATTCATTTTGATTTGCCTTTTATGGCTATCGTACTCATTATAATTATCTCAACGGCATTCAATTTTTTTAATAACTCTCTCTCTCCCATGAGTCAATCTTTCAAATATGAAAGGTTCATTAGGAATTTCCTTTTTATCTCTCTCCTATTCTCATTCTCTCACATCTTCTATATTCTCTATATCAACTTGCTCTTTCCTTAGACTCTCGCTCCATCTCCAACGCATTCCCTTAACACTCCATGCTCTCTCTCTCAACCACTCTCTTTGGACTTCCTTTTTGAATTCTAGTCGTCCGCTTATCACTTTCATAACAATATTTTGTGATTTCTCTGATTACGACCGATATAAAAGCAATATGATTAAATAAAAAACCTCCGCACGCCTAATATGGCTCATAAGAACATAGATCGGACAAGAATAGACATGTCCAATTAGTTATCCGTTACCCGGGGCTACTAACATCCGATTTTTTTTGATAAAAGTTAGTGAAAATAAAGTTCTGAATGCTCTATCACAGGCTTAGCGTGATTCTCATATGGTTAGTTCCGAGAGGTGTAAGCATCTTTGTCTTACACTCGAAAAGGAGACTTCGAGAAGTGGTAGACGCGGCAGGCGAAAAAAAGTAAGAAAGTCTTCTTGGGCATTTAAAGAATTTTGTGTGAAGACTTGAGAACACTTGATTGAACTAAAAGTTCTCTTCTTCACTTTCTTTCTCTCTTACGTTTCCTTCTTTCTCTTCAAAATTCTCGAATTAAAGAATCAGTTGAATTTATCTTTTCACTGCTTGTTAAAGAAAGACTGCTCCGTTAAGCAAGAACAACAAAACTAACAAAAAAAAAGTTGGAAAAAGACTTTCAGTCTTAGTCCCTTCTCTCTCTCTGTTTCCCTCTCTTCAGTCGCACCTCTAAAACAACTACATTTGATTGCACCTAAAAACTTTCAGCCAAGAAGTGCCGTTCTATCTGTGTGTTGCCCTTGAGGACTTGTAATTCTCCAACAGGCGCACTATTACGAACTTAATCTTGTGTGCTTTTTTTTGTTAAAAGTTTTAATGACATTTCAATTTAGAACAAGGCCAAAACATGTAGAGAACAAACTTGGGATGTTCGTTTGTATTCGAACAATGACTTTAAAAGACGAGGGAGAAGCTCATCTTCATCTGAATTTTTTTCTTTTCCTCTTCGTACTGTTATCTGAACGAGATGGAAGAAGAAAAATAAAATATTTTTTTTGTTCTTTAGCACAAACTGAAAGAAGAGGGGGATGTTATTATTAATAATGAGAGATTATTAAAGAATTTCTATTTCATTTAAAAATTTTTTTTCTTATTAAGTATAATTTATGAACGGAAATTACAGTAGAACTTACACGATCATCATTTTTAGTGCTCGGTGATTCATCCAAAGGATTTTCATCATTTGGATCTGGTCGTGCTATTGCCTGACTAAGATTTGACACAAACGAAACATCTGAATATCCATGATTTGCCTGAAAATACACAATCATCTTCTTAACATAACAGCCGATAGGAATAGAGGGTGGAGGAGGAAGGGAGAGAGATAGAGAGATGATCACTTGTTCCTTGTCATCTTCATTTTTCTATTTTTTGATGAACTTTTGATTTTTGATGGAAAATAAAAAACTGAAGAGATAAGCAGAATGAATGAGAAAAAAGAGAAGAAGAAGCTAAAAAAAAATTCGCCGAAAACTAATCATAAGCTTTATTGGTTCTTTAATGCAAACAAGATTGTCCTCAATACAATCTTACTCATCAAAAGATTCGCTAAATGGGAATACAAACATCTTCAAAGAGCTTTTGATGAAGGTGAAGTAGGAGATATGAAGATGAATCTTATCTCGTAATTATCGTATAGTTAACGATTTTTCATTTTTTTTTTCATTTCCATCCTAAAGTTCTATCATTAGATAGGGAAAATGCCAACCGATCATCACGTCACAACATGTAGAAAAAGGAAAATGTTGCGTATGTTCACGGAAGCCACGTGAAATGCCACGTATGCTAATTAGGTAAAAAAATGATTATAAAAAATGACAAGGATTATGATTAAGATAGAATGATTGAGAGAGAAGGAGGATGTGAGAGAGAAACAGAGAGAAAGGTGTAAATGTAGTTTTAACGTTTCACAAACTTACAATTAAGCCAAAGAAATCTACAACGGCTGACTCTTTTACCCGTACCACAGCATATTTATATCGAGGTTTCTCCTCCATTCCTATAAGTATTTATATTATAACATATAGTTAGATGATATAATAAACAAGTATGAAGAAGGAACATAATCAAAAATGAAATACAAAAGCAGAGCAGTGAGATAGATAGATAGAGAGAGAGAGAAATATGTGGGAGAAAAAGAAAGAGGGAGAGAGATTGATAGTAGCGAACTCATTAACTTCTTCATAAGATGATGTACGAGTTCTGAGAAAAAATCACAAAAAATTAAGAAAATTTATGAGAAAAAAAAGTAATTGAAAAGAGAAAAAAGGTTATTTGGGCTTTGTGTTGGTTAACGAGGCATAGTTAATGATAATTAACAACCGCTAGATAGCTTTTCAATTGAATAATTTTACTTAAAAATGACAAGAAGATTGAGCAAAAGACAGAAATGAAGAAGATGAAACATGATGAGAGAGAGAAGAAAAGAGATCGAAAATGATTAAGAAAAACAACGAATAGAGCAGAATTCTAATTTGTTAACTTTGTAACTAAAAAATATACAAAAAGGCGGATAATTAAAGCTATTAGGAGCATACACATGCATACACACACGCATATACACGTTCATGTACACACACACACACTCACACACTAACACACATGCACACACACACACACACACACACACATACACAGACTGACAACACAATGACGGGATAGATGCAAAAGCAGTGGTGGTAGAGCAATTCGCTGGATCTGTATGCAAACAGGACTTCCTAGTACATTTCAGACTTCTTTTTTACTTTTTTTTTCTTCTTTTTCTCCTTTTTTAAATAAAAAAAAAATTAAAACAAACGCAAGGTTTCGTCTTAGATGGACTTTTGCACACAAAAGCTGATAGAAACCTTAGAAGAACAAAGAAAACGAAGAGGAAACAAGAAAGAAAAGATGCTTAAGAGAGAAGCACAAAAAGTATAGTTTTGGTTAGTTGCTTATGATGAAGTAGATTCTTGATGATTAAAAAGGAAATAAAAAAAGGGAAAAGAAGGGAAGGGGGGGGGTTGAGAATTCATAAATGGCACAAGCTGCTTAACAATTGCTTAGACATAAACTTTAAATTTTGTTGCTTCGACAACTTCATCAAGCTGCAACTCGAACGAAAACTTAATCATAAGTGATAAGCTTCTAGAGGAGTGGCCATGACGTAAATGCCAAAATGTCTAACTCAAAATGCTGGTTGTTTCAGCTTTTCCTCCAATCATATCGTCGCGCTCTTTTGAAACAAATTGGCCACAAAGCACAAGGTGATGATTCGAGTAAAGATGAGAAGTTAAATTGAAAAGTTAAAAGGTAAAATAAAGAGATGAGAGAGATTCGTCCTTTGCTCACTGAATGAGAGAGGGGGCTAAAGAAACATTAGATGCATTGGAAAAGAGATAGTGAACAGAAAGCTTAAGGAAAGAGATACAAGACCAGAAAACTTAAGTAGTGAAAAGTTCAGAACGAGAAGAAAAAGTTGAAAAGAGCAAGAAGGGTGAAGTTGAAATAAAGAGAAAGAGAGGGAGAGTGAGAAAAGGGATATAAAGAAGTTGAGAGAGAGAGAGAGAGAGAGTGAGAATGAAGCTCTTATAGAAATGGTATTAGTGCTTGAGGTGTTACAGCAGACAGCTTTGATCACTAAATTGTCTCACAAGTTTTCTAAAAATCCACCTTACAAACAAGAAATTGAGGATGGAATGATGATATAATGACCAGAGTGAACCCTTACTTCATTCGCTCAAGAACAATTGGTAGGAGATCAGCTTAACCTTAAAATCGTTTTCTTGCAACTAGAAAAAAGGATTAAATGCTCAAAAAGAATCTGACGCTATATCAGATGAAGAGAGAAACAATAAAGGAGAGACAGATAGAAAGAGAAACCGAAAAAAGTTCTGAGGTGGCAAGACCCAACTGAAAGGCTTCTGGTTAGAGAACATTGGTAGTGATTAGAGCAGAATGGGACAGCAGCAACCGAAAGCACAGCGGCAGTAGCCGTAGCAGCAGCTTTTCGTCAGCGTGGAGCTCAGACAGAAGGCAAAAGCTTAGAGACAGATGAGAATAATAATAAATTTTGGAAAGCAAGTGAGGTGCTGATTGCATGGCTTATCTGGGTGAGGAAAGGCAAAAAGAGATGTAGGGAGAGGGAAAGAAGGGGGGGGAGTAAAGCGCTACAGAAATGAAGAAAGAGAGTAAAATGGAAAAAGAGAAAGAAATTGAGGGAGAGAGAGATTGAGAGAGAGAGAGAGAGAGAGAGTTGCATCTGAGGTGAATAAGGCATTTCTCACATGCTAAGTCTTTATATGTTATAAAATATTTAACTATTGATCAAATGATATTTCGTTGGAATAGGAGGGAAGGAGATGGTTGCGAGGGGATTTCATTTCGCAAACAGGGGTGGAAAGAAACTGAACGACAAGCTATTTGCTGGAAATTATAATGAAGATGAAGCCTTAAAAGCTTTAAAATCTACAAAAATTTTGAATAAAATAAATAAAACTGAAAATGATTAAGAAAAAAAAATTTTTTAATCGTAAATAACAGATTATAGTATTGTCATCCTTAAATCCAAAAAGGAAAAATGGAGGAGAGAAGAAAATTTTTTTTCTAGGAAAAGGAGGGATACTGAGAGAGAGAGAGAACAAAAAAATAGAGAGAGAGAGGGGAAGATAGAGAGAGAGAGATTGAAAAAGTCATAAATCAAAGACAAAATGCTTGTTTACATTAGCTTTACAAGCTCATTTAAATTCACCTTCTGATACAATTAGTATTCCATGATGTCTAATGAAGTCAGAAAATTAGAAGAATATCATCAAGTCTTTTCAGCTTTTTCCAATTCTCAAAGTTCTTTTGTTGGCCTTTCTCTTGCATCTCTCTACTCTCTCTCTCATTTGATGTAATGCTCTTTCATGCTATAAGGATGATTACCTCTTCATATCAATCTACCTTGTATCGTTCCGCTCTTCAGTCAATTTCATTCATCCATCGCCGCCTCCAATACCACCAACTATCCCATCTATCTCTTTATCTCTCTATCTCTTTTCTCTCTCTTCCACATCTCTTCAATCTCGTTTATACCAATTGAGGATAGTGAAAAGTAAAATGGATTATGAAAATGGATGAGATAAGGTGTGATTAGTCTTTGACTGAAATTCTTTTTATCTTTTCATGCAAAGCTTAAATACAGACAAAAGACTCTCTAGCTTACGAAGAAGAGCAAGTAATCACGTAAAATCACTTTAATTAATAAGCAGCAAAGAGAATGAGAGAACGTTGTAGAGATTAATATCGAAATGTTCGAAAGAAAACATAAAAACTTCAGAGCTTACAAGTAGAATATGCAAAATAGATGGAAAAGCATGGTAATTATGTGTAAGATAAGATATGGGAACAGCTTAAATAAGGAATAAATGAGGAAAAAACTATGATATGTTTTCTATCCGTTAAGATGAAGAACAACTTTCCGCATTTCATCTGAAACGAAAGCAACTATCATGATGACGAAGGAGACGATCTGAGATATGAGAGAGGAAAAATTTTTTTTTGTCCAAAGACGAATTATACGTAAAGAGATTTGAATATTGAAATGAAAATGAAAAGAAATAACAAATAAGGAGAGGAAACTGCTCAAGATGTTATCATCACTATGCCAACGACGACAATCACAAGTCACAACGACGACGACGACGACGACGACGACAACGACGACAACCCAAATCCATCAGAAGACAAAAAAGAAAGTGAGAAAAAATAGGAGAATCGAATAATATTTTTAAAACTATAAAAACAATCTGATTCTAACTATATTGAGATAAGGCTATAGGCGACGACTTTCAGCTCTTTCAACACACGGCTTTCTTCATCTTAAGCTTTTTGGACAGAAGCTGAAGCTTAATCTCTCTATCAACTTGCAAGCATATCGAAGCCGAAACTGTGACAGTTTGCTTCCATTTCGTTTTGTTTCTATCTTACAAGAGAAAGTAACGGAAAAATCCAACATCTCATAGCTCTCCCCAATTATCGTCTTGAACTTCCAAGAAGCAAAAGCTCAAAAACATTTGGGAGATTGTCTAAAGACCGAGATCAGCACTGAACGTAGCTAAGTGACATTGGCCTTCCCCACCCAAAGCCGGTGCTTATCGGAAGGAAAAGTTAAATATTTGCTCGCAAGAGGCCAATTTTCCTACGATTTCTGTTGGTCGGCTGTGCTTTAATAACTTAGAAGCTCATCGATGCCGTCTGCATTCAAAAAAAGTTTTTTTTTCGCTCAGCATTCACATTTGTGTCACTATCATGATTGTATCAGTTTCTTATATATTATTCTTCACTAACATTTGATTAACAAGAACGACAGAAAGTAAGAGAGAGAGAGGAAGAGGGAGAAAGAGATGGAGAAGATGTAGGAGATAGAGAGAGAAAGAGGTATAGGCAGAGAAAAAAAGCTGACTCGACTTCTGAAACTTACAATTAAAAGGGACAATTAAAGGTGAAATTAACAAAGGTGCGAGAGAAGAACAGAGATATAAGGAGAGACTGAGAGAGACCTCACATGCAGCTGAATAGCTTTTACTCTCTTTCTATCTCTAGTCTCTCTATCATTTTCATTTTCTAATACAAACTTTATATATATTATTATATATATATATTTCAATCTCTCCTTCCTTAACATTATCCATCTCTTCTCCTCTCTCTCTTTCTCTTTTCATTTTCATAACTTGATCGATTTAGCTCTACAATAGTATAAGGCATAAACAGCAAAAAGAGGCAAAAACAAGAAATGAGCAAAGGAACAAACCCAAATCTTTTTGACTTTAGATTTTGATAACAAAGAGATCTCTTCATGTCTTACTTTCCATTTTCTCCTTCTCTCTCTATATATTCCAATCCTTCTCAATCCATCTCCTTCCAATCTCATTCTTCTTGCTTTCTCATTCTCTCTCTAAATCTCATTTTCTCTCTATCTATCTCTTTCTACCTCTCAAATCAGTCTTTTTTTTGCTTCTCTTCTACATGCTCTCTTCTGTAAGAAATACAACCGTTTCTCAGCTTTTGCATAATTACAATGAGAACTGAGAGAATGAAGCTAATGCGGCCACGTGGAAAATACGTGAAATTAGAATATGCATTGAGCAGCTCTCTGTTAAAATATTATAAATGAATTTGGAGAAAATGAAATAATTAAAACTTAATTTAATAATATTTGTAGTTTTTCATTCAATTTTATTAATGAGAAGAATATCAAATTGCTAATTTCATGAAAAATCATTGAAATGTCTTAAAACTAATGAAAAGGTATGAACCATAGCGGAACATGAAAGGAGAGAAAGAGAAAGAGAAAGAGCAATATAGAGGGAAAGATCAAGAGAGAGAGAGAGAAAGAGAGATTGATGAAGAGAGTTGTAAAAGAGAGAAAAGATCAAGAAATATTCAGATAGAGAGAGTATGACTGAATGAATGAAGGTGAGGTAAAGAGGGATGAAGCAAATGGCGGGGTTGATTGAGGGAATTGTGACTAATGATCAAAGCCAAAATTGAAGCTTTATCAACTGCTTGTATAGATGATAGATGTAAGCATATTCAATCAAAAGAAAATGAAATAAAGGAAGTTTTCTTTTTCAGTTTTTGCTGTTGAAAATTATCATTTTTTTCATCCAAATAAGGGAGTACAATAGAATGATAAACAGCTGCAAATTAAAGGAAAAGATAGAGAGAGAGAAAGAGGAGAAAAAAAAATTTTTGATGGAAAAAAATTAAAAAAAGGGAAAGAGAGAGAGAGAGAGAGGGGAGGAAGAGAGGGGGATAGAAGAGAAAGAGAGATAGGTAGGTAGATAGAGAGATATGGAAGAAAGCAAGCTGCGAATGGGGAGGAGTTGGATAAGAAATGTAAATTACAAAATCTTTCTCAAAAGAAAAAGGTTATCAAAGCTTAATGATAGGCCATATCAAGATGTTTGTGAAGCAAAATAAGCTACATGTATAGTCCATGTAATCTATCAGTAATGCTTCTCTTGTCTTCGTTACATCTTCTTTTGATTTTATTTTCATTCCTTCCTCAATGCCTTCTTCTTTATTTTTTTTGTACAAAATTGAGAAGTGGGAAAGACATGAGATATGATGAATAGAAACGAAATAGCCATTACCTCTAAATGGATGAGAAACAGCTTCAAGCAAAAGCTTCACACAAACGAAGAAATGAAAAAGAAAGAAAAAGGAGAAAAGAGATGAAGAAATATTTATTTTACAGTAAGTTATAAAGCATAAGCTTTATCTATGTGTGAAATATTTGTGTTAAAATCATTCTTATGGAAAAGTTTTTTTTCCTTCCGTCTCTCCCCCTACCACTACCATTCATTCGTTTTCTTCACTACTCCTTCACGTTCTTCACCTTCTCTCCCATCTCATCTCCCTCCTTCGTCTTCTTCTTCTTCTTCTTCTTGAATATCATTTTATCAGTCAAGATGTTTAGATGTCGTTTTCTCACATCTTTGCTCGTTTTTTCGCACAAAAATTGAAAAGAATAATCAAACAAGAATGATTCAGAAGATGATTTAAGTGCTTTTGTCAGCAATTAGAAGGAAAAAAAACTTTTTTTTCTTCAACTTTCATATTCATTTTTCATTTCAACTTCCTGCTTCCCAAAGCCATCTTGTCATGGATGCGTCTTCTGTGGATCTGTCAGACATTTTTTGTCTTTCTTATCACGTCGTGTATAATCAGCTGTCTTCGGCTTCACGTAGTTTGTGAAAACATTGAAATCCCCGAAGTTTTCCTGAGAATTAGACATAAACCATTTAGATTTTTCTGAGAATATCATCTGATGCCTAAGGCGCTTTCATGAGCCCGCAACGACAATCCGGCTTCACATCAGGTACCGATGGATGCCGAATGTTTTTCATATCAACCAAGAGCTAATAAGCACAAAATGATAGAGAAGCAAAATGAGGGAAAAAAAGAGAAGAAAAATAGAAAAAGAACTGAAGGATTATCTATCTTCAGAATGCCGTACCGTCCGAGTGTCTTATGGAACAACAGCTTCTATGTGTTATGTGTTGTCGTTACAGCCACATGCTGTCGACACCGAATATTTCGATGATCAGCGCATGCGCATGAACAGCTCTATCATAATGCTCATTCTCATTTCTGGAGATAGCGAAAATTCAAGAATTATGAATAAAACCTTGTATGGGAATGAACGACAATATTGATTATCGTACAGAATTCTCTACGACAACTGCCAATGTGCAGCTGGTGGGATTTTAGGCTGTTTATACGAAATTTCGTCCATAAAATGCGAGAGCGCAAATAAGCTATAGAAATGAAGGAGGGAACATTTTCAAAGGCGAATCTTTTCGTCTGTGAAAGAGAAAGAAAAGAAAAAAAAATCTTTGAGTAAGATGACAAAAGTTTAAAACTTTTTTAATCTGACGTGGTCTTAACATACAAACGTCATGGCGACCAGAAAATGGAAGTACAAGGAGGCGTCTAGAGCTAGAAAATCTTGCTGAGTTGTCGCCTGGAAAGAGCTTGTGATAGAAGCTTTATGCTTAACTGCATGTCCATGACAACGCCTTGCCTGAATTTCAGGTAAATATAACTGAGCACAGAAAAATCTCATTCATTCGCTCTCCCCTCACTGAAAATGATAAAACTAGCATCGAGGCTGATTCTGATTGGAAAAGTAAAGAGTATGAGAGATAGGGGGAAGAATGGAAGAAAGTGGAAAAGTGTAGAGGGAGATAGGGTGAGATGAAAATAGAATTGGTTATGAGCAAAAACTTTATGAGAAATTGGGTGGATCTAAGTAGTTGTGAGTTTTTCAGAGACTTTAGGATAAAGCGACGAAGGGAAGCAAAGAAATCGACACAATTATTATTAGCAATAATAAGGATCGAAGCCCCTAATTAGTTGTCTCCTGAAGAATAAAGAAAGCTGAAAATAGGAATTGAAGAAGTAGAAGAATGAATCAAAAGTAAGAAGAGACTTAGATAGGAGATAGAGCTAGGCAGATAAAGAGAGATAGATGAATAGAAGGATTCCATGAAATGTATCAGATGAATATCCAGACGGATGAGCCAAAAACAGCGAAACAATGAGTTCAAGTGGAATCAGAAGTGCTGACGACAACTATGTCGGAAGTGAAGAGCCAAAGACGAATACGCACTTTTTCCATCTATGCTAATGAGATATATGACAAATTAAGCAAAGGTGTTGAGACAGAGACTCAAAAGTAAAGTTCAGGATAAAAAATAATAAATTGCAAAAAAAGATAGAGGAAAGTTCGTATTTGGAGAGAAGAAGGGAGAAAAGTAAGAGAAGGAGATAGAGAGAGAGAGAGGGAAGAAGCTTCAAAATGAAATTCCTGTGTAATCCTTCTCTTGTGCTCTTCGTTTTCAAATCAGTAGCTGTTATATACAAATGATGATGATGATGATATATTTATGAAATAAAAAGGAAAACATTATAATAGAAGCTGTAGGCCAGAGAGGAAAAGGTAAAAAAAGTGGAAAAAGATATGAAAAATGAGATAAACTGCCAAAGTCCATGGATATTCATCCGGTCACTATGCTAATCGGTGACGAATCTCCATAAAGTGGAAGAAAAAAAAATTGTAAAGAAGGATTAGTGAGAAGATGAAAAAGATACTTCATTAACCTTCAAAATGCTACTCACAAAGGAAATCCAGGGCAATCTGGTTGCAGATATACTTGGCTCTGTAGATGTATGTTTTTGTGGAAAAATATTTCAACTTTTTTTTCTTTTCGTATGGAGTGCAATATTCATGGAAGTTATTGTAGGAGGGAGAAAGAAGAGAAAAATGAAACTGACGGAGAGGGAGGGAGATTGAACAGATTCATTCTCATAAGGAGATTGATGAAAACATGGAAACGGTTCAGAGATGAAGGTGAAAGTATAAAGTTTTGGAACCGTTTATGATATTGTCAAAGGTATAAAGAAAGACAGAAGACGGAATATGAAGTAAGGGAAATGAAATATACTATTTGAGCGAAAGAGAGAAAGACATATACATAGAGAGAGAGAGAATGGTAACGCTAATGCTCTTAACGTAAAACAGGATTTCAAACTGTCATCAACAGACTAAGTACCACTAAGTTCTACTAAAGTTATAGTGGAAAAGCGGTAAAAAGAGCTGAAAAGGGGGCAGAGAGTGAAAGAGAGATATATATAGAGAGGTTAGAGGGGGAAAAATGATTTGTTGAGAGGGAGGAATCATTTGGTTAAGGTGATAGTATTGATCAGAATAGTTTAAATTCATTAGTTTGAGAATGTTATTCAACAGTTTACAAAAAGCAACATTCGAGTGTTTCATGAAATAAAATAAAAATTAAATGATAGAGAGAGTGAGATAGAGGGAGAGAAAGAGATAGACAGATAGAGAGGAAGGTGTTTTTTGTAAAAATTATAAAGAAAACTATAACAGAGAAAGACTGCTTCCGTAAAACAGAGAACAAGGAAAAATGAGTTGAGAAAGATTGAGAGAGTTAGAGGTACAAAGAAGTACAAAGAGAGAAGAAGAGAGAGAGAGAGTGAGAGAGATTGTAATCTGATTCCCTATAAGGCAGAAGGATTTTGATAGAAAAAAAGCCGAGAAGTGTGAAACAGTCAGGAAAAAGTCATAAATCATCTTAATTTGAAGAGAAAAGAAAAGAAGAAAATGTAGGAGAAGTGTGAAGGAGGAAGAAATTAAGACAAAATAACAGAAAAGAAGATGATAAGAAGATTGTGAGAAGATGAGATGAAGCTCAATAGCTACATAAGGTGCGAGAAAATCTTAAACAATTCAAATACTTCACTACAAGGAGTATAACGATTAGCGTCAACATCAGATGATTTTATATAATAAAAAAGAGATTTTTTGGTTATTCGGGACTACGAGAAGATGAAAGGAGGGGAGGAAGAGGGGTGAGGGGAGGGTTGGTGAGGAAAGAGAGGAGAAACACACCGTTAGTACCATCAAACACTTAAGCTTTACAGAACTAGAAGGCTTTCTTTTTGTTGGAGACAAGCCAAATAAATAAATAAAAGTAAGGAGGAGGAGGGAAAAAGATTGAAAAAAAGTAGAAATAGATAGAGAGAGACGCACAGAAGTAAGCAAAAGTAAGAGAGAGAGAGAGATAGAGAGAAAGAATAAGAATGTGAGATAGTGAACGAAATTGAGATAAAACACTAAATAACTATGTGATTAATGTAAAATTAGTGTTAGCAGGTTCAAATCAAGAATTGATTTCCAATTAACATTCCAAATGAGCAGTCGACAATTCAGCTGGATGTTCATGAGCTTTTTATGAAAAGCTCAACGATTTTTGATATTCTATTGTTAGCAAAATGAAACAAATTAAGTTTATAGGAAGTATTAGAACCTTATATGAAACTTATTAAAATGAGATGATAGATAATGTATATATGAGAGATATAATAGAGAGTAATAGATGGAATATGAGAGAGAAATGAGTTAGATGAGGAAGCAGGCAATGTGCACAAGCGATTTCTCTCTCTTTAGCTTTCTCTCTCTCTCTCTCTCTCTTTCTCTCTCTGTTTCTCTTTTAGACGAACATACAAACTGAATGATATGAAATATGGAAGAAAAAGAGATTTTTAATGAAACATTTTGTATAATTATAATTCGTATATATATATACGAATTATTAATCAAAATAGGAATGCTTAATTGACAAATAAATATAAATTGAAAGCCTAATTAACTAACCTGTAATGTTCATTTAAATTGTAAAAGTTTGTGTAAATATATGACTGAAATGACTTTAATGATAAAGTTTTTTAACAAATAGATCCTAATTATAAACGAAATATTGAAGAAGACGAAGATGATGATGATGATGATGAACACATCGTCTTCATGCATGTGCTTAAAGCAGAAGAACGCAAAAAAAAGTACAAAATCTGGAATAACAAACGATTGAAATCAATAAAGAAAGTTTTAAGAACAAAAAAAAAGAAAAAAGGAGGGAAGGAAGAAGAGAAAAGAGGATGATGTAGAGAAGGAAGAGAAGTATATGAAGGAGAAGAAGCATAGCACCATTCACAAATTGCCACAACCGCTCTCTCACAAAAATTAATTCAAAATTATAAGGACACGTGAAAGTCACGCGTAAATCACTTCACTAATATGCTAATTAGACAGTTAGGTATCTGAATTCTGGGAGTAAAGTGATTGTAAGAGAAAAAAAAAGAAAATCTGAGTGTTTAGCCAAATATGAAAGGGAATGGGATAAGGAAGTGAAAATCAAATGGAGATGTTTAAAATCTTCATAAATTTCAGAACGTCTGTCTTAAGCCATTGATGGAAATACATTGTGAACATAAGGCGCTTGCCTTGCGAAGAAGCTTATCGCCTTACGAGCTTAAGGCCTTAAAGACAATCACATGAGAAGAGGAAGAGAGAGAAAAATAGAGAGAAATTCTTTATCGATTGAGCAAAACGACATATTTGGGAAAAGACATATTGGTAGACAGTTTTGGGACATATTTTGGTGAAGGAAAAAAAATTACAGAAAAGTGACGCCTTGAGAAACGGATGAGAGGAGGGAAAGGGAAGAAAAAAATTCATTTCTCATGAATGCAATGGAAATAAGAAAAGGAAAAGCAAAGCAAAGTAAAGAATATGATAAGTTGTGTTAAGAGGGAGACAGACAAATGAAAAAAATGTAGCGAGAGAGAGAGAGAGAGAGTGGTAAAGAGTGATAGAGTGATAGATAGAGAAAGAGAAGGAGAGATGTGGCATAAGAGAGACCGACAATGAGGGTGGGCAAACGAGGGAGAGGTAGTAAGGAGGGAAGCAAAGGAATTACTTTGATGCTGTGAAAACTGGCCAAATGAAAACAAACTTAATGATATATTGTTATGGCATGGAAGACGTTTTGAAAATAATAAGGGAAAATACAAAAGAGCTGACAACGAATGAAAATACAATGGCTTATGCAATTCAGCTTTTTTCATAATTACAGAAAGAAAAGGCAGCACCGAAAAAAAACTGTCAAAAATTATCTGTGTGAGTGTGTTCGAACTTGTGGAAGCTTTTGAGACGAATATGGAAAGTGGGTGGAGAATGAGGAGACAGGTTGACTAAACTGAGAAGAATTTATGAAGGGACGTTTTTCTGTTTTCTATTGTGAATTTTCAATAGGACAAGAGATGAGTAGATGTGAAATAAGGAATATTGCCATAGAATAGTTACACACACACACACGTTACTCCTTCTCACTATATCGCTCTCCATTTCTAAGAACTGTGTACTTCTTTGCAACAACCCCAATTCTACGCCTACTCTCTTGTTTAGGTCATTCATTTTCTCCAAAGCCTGACAGAACAGTCAATTTACAGAAGAGAGTCAGAAAATGAGAAAATAAACAGTTCCATACACAAGAGAGATCATGAGATTGGGAGAGAAGGAAAGACATTAAGACCTAAGCGTTATGTCAACTAAGGCCGTTGGGTGAGATCTTAAGACCATAAGTCCCTTACTGACCCTGAGCCAGACAGTGTGTCAGCTAATGGGCTAAGCGAGAGGCTGACAGAGAAACAGATAGAAGTATCTCTTACTGAAGAAAAATGAAACGTTTGATGGAAAACTCGAATATAATTTTGTTAATAAAAAATCTTTGAAAAATAGAAAAGAGAGAATGTGGGAGAATAAGAAGTGCAGTAAAGAACGTATATAGACAAAGAGAGATAGAGAGAAAGAGGGAGAGAGAGTAAAAGAGAAATAGAATGAGAGTGAGAGAGTTGCGTACTAGGCGCCAAACCTTAAGCCGATGCTAATCCTTTGCATTTTAGGGATGGAATAAGGCTGAATAAGGCTAGTAGGGCCCAACTATCTCCAAATTCTCTTGTTTGTATGAAAATGGTTTTTTCTGTACTACAATTCAGAATTGAATGTGGCGTAGGAAGAGAAAGGGAAAGAGTAGGAGAGAGAGAGAGGAAAAATGAAAATCAGAATAATGAAAAGAAAATATTTAAAAAAATGAGCGAATAGGATATAGAGGGGTGGTAGGGGGAAGAGGTGGAAAGAGGGTTTGTATATCTCTGTAATTCATAATTATTTGGTTTAACTATATGAAATATCTAACTAACTAGCTATGTAGAATAGAATATTAGCCGTTATTGAAAATCTAATAAGATATCTTTCGTTGTTAGGCTATGATAACAAAATAAAATTTTTAGAGAATTTCAGAGAGAGAGAGAGAGAGACAGAAGGAGGGAGCGGTAGCTGTATGCAACAGAGATACGTTGGTGGGAGAGTTGAAGGATAATATAAAATAAAGATAAAACCATCGACATATTGTATGAGAATGTGAAATTGTGAGTAGGAGATAGGAAATGAGAGAGAAAGCTTAGAGGGAGAGAGAGAGAGAGGTAGAGAGAGAAAAGAAGAAGAGCGATACCTAACCTGAAAAAAAAGCCAAAAGGCATAAAGTTGGAAAGTTGAGCTTTTTGCAACGTAGCTTCTAGTTGCCTTATCAGGTTCGTAATAACTTCGATAAGAACCTAAGTTTCCAAAGGAAATTATATACGTTATCATAATGCTTTTATGAAAATCAGCTTTGTTAGATGTGAGATAACATTTGTTGCGAAAAATTTACAATAGAAAAGAAAAATAAATAAAACTTTATCGCTTATTTGAAATCTTTCGTTAAGTTTTAAGCTTTTATCAGCCATTTATGGCTTCTAATTCATTTTCTTTTTCATGTTTTCAAATACATTTTGTTAACTTTTTCAATTTTCACTTATCATTCTATGATATATATATGTATATAGACAGATGTAGAAAAAAAAGATAGAGGGAAAGATATATATGTAGAGAGAGAGAGATTGCCTCAGGCATATCCTTCATCATGCACACGCCTGAAGCCCACACATAGCCAGGTGAAAGATTTGTTTGTCTCAATGTAATAGGGAAAGGCAGAATAAAAAAAAGGAAAAGAAAAGAAGATTCATGAATGATTAAATCATTCTTTCAGCTTATTCATTTAAGCGATTTGAAAAAGCTGCTCTCAGACATAATATGATTTTTCAAATGATATATATTCGAGGGAGTAATTGAAAATTGAAAGAATAAGGTTGTATTGTACTAAAATGAAATCATTGCAGGTGCTTCTGCGTCAAACATGAACGAACATATTCAAGGGAGTTGTATATCCACACACACACATCGAGAGGGAGAGACAGAAGGAGAGGGAAAGAAAACTTTTATAATTTTTTATTTAAAATCTTTTTCAATTATTCAAAAATGTAATTCACGTGAATAATTAGCATAATGTGCGTGCATACATCACGTGTAAACAACTCACGTGAATATCAACCATCTACGTAAAATTTCATTTTTCAAATTTTCAAGATAAGCATATGGTTGTTGCATTTGAATATTCAAATTAATTAATTATTTTTATTTTTGAATCCTAAAATACATTTTTTTTACTTTTTGCATCAAAAACTTTATACAAAAGGTGTTCATTAATTATAAAAATTAATTTCATTTAATTAAGATAACAATGTTGTAGTTTGGGCAGCCGAACTACGTGTCCCTCTTTCTCTTTCTAAGTACGCCTCTCCCTCTCTATCTTTCTCTCTCTCTCTCTCTCTCTTTACGTACCTCTTACTCTCTCTCTCTTTTTGACTTCCTTCTTTTTACACACAAATTTTAATTTTTATTAATTTTAAATATTTTAAGATGTAAGCTCGGAACGTTTGTTATGTATGAATGAGCTTTACTCCTTTTCTTCACTACTGTATTTCTCTTTTTCTTCTCTTATAATACTTAAAGATGTGTGTGCGTGTGTGTGTATGTATGTCTGTGTGGTAAAGATTTCTTTCAGTTTTTGATTCAGAAGTTTATAATATGAGCTTCTCATCTAGCTTACATACGGCTCAAATCATAGTTGGGAGTGGAAATAGAAAAAATTGAAAAATAAACAACAATTGTATTATTTTTTTTCATAATTTTATAGTAAAACACTGAACAGCCAAATAAGGAAAATGGCCACAAATTGACTTGATAATCTAACGAAAAGCTTTGAGGAAGAAAAGAAAAGCTGGAATGGAATTTCAATTGATGCCTACTCACCATAACAGCCGAGAATAAACTGAGTGAGGAGAGGGAGACGTTTCTTAAGAGAAGGGGGGGGGGGGGGGGATGGTAATAAAAGTAAAAAGTAAATAAAGCATTTAATAAGTGAGGTAAACGTTTAATTATCAAGAAAGGCAAGGAGTCGAAAAGACAGGCGAATGGAATTTATCACAAAGTTGAAAGCAGAGATGACTAAGGGGGGAAGAAGTTAAGAGTTCAAGTAGTCTTCGCATTGAAAGATATAAATCTTGCCCATTCACAACCTAAAAAGTATTTTCAATTGTGGAAATGGATCTGGATCATATTTACATTCTGTTTGGCTTTCCAGAAGGTTCAACGAAGATTAGATGTTAAGCTTATTCTAAAGCTTAAGCTCTTATCTTCCATTTTGTGGTATTATTATATTTCACAAATAACTGAGAGGGTGGACAGAGGCTGAGAATAAAGAAAGATTGGTAGAGAGAGACGAGAAAGAGAAAGGACGAGTCACAGAAGAACGGGTGGAGGCTGTTTGAGGGAGAAGGGGTCTTAGAAGAGGAAATGCTGCAAACGGGAAGACATTTTATAAAATAATACTAACTAAAACAATGATCTTCTATAAGAAAACTCTTAGAGGGGCTTCAAACCATCTAAAATGGCATCAAAGTCCCGGCATTTGCTCTCTTTTAATATTTTTTCTTCTCAAAAATTAAGTCATCGATGTTTGAATTGTAGAACGAGCCGCTGTTTCAATTTGTGATAACGCTTGTTCAATCTAGAAAAAAGCTCGATTGTACAACTTTGCCATTTCAAAATTCATTGAAACCTGATAAGCTGAGATTGTTTGGTCGCTTGTTCGAGTACGAGTTCGTCCACGTGTAACTGACGTCATCAACGATCTTCCCCAGCCTGATTTAGAGCCTCTATCCTTCCTACCAGCATTCAGAATGCTCTGATCTCGTTTATGTGGGAATGCAGAACGGTTCCACGATACCAAACACATAGTAACCTGAAATGGGGGGGGAACGGATCAGTACATCACGAGTACAATTATGGGCGAAACATACAAATGAACAGAGAACCATTCCAAATCCATAGCCATATGCAGCAAATGCAGAATATAAGGAGCTGAAGCACACTTTAAGAAACCAGGCTTTCACGGTAACACAAACTTGTGAGGACAACTGATGGCTACATCTCGTTCCGTTAGCAGAAGTTGTGACTTGTTCATTCCTTTGCAATTGGCAAAAACTGTGAAGAAAAAAATTTCGATGATATTAAACTTTGAAACATTCAGGGAACGAGTATTTGAAAACAAATTAAGAAAACTTATCGAATGGGATCCTTATGACTCGGATAGTACGGTTTGCATTTAAAATTTTGAATGATTGAATATTTGGAGGGCGGACCTTCAAATCCGATGCTCATTTGGCACACGCTTACTCTTCCTGAGCTTAAATTAACCCGAGAGAGGTGTTAGGTCATTAGATTTTTAAAGAATTACCCGAAGTTATAACGTATGAAGAAGTTATCTGGTAAATCTTTATGTCGGAAGTCAGCTACACGCCCAGGTAAACAAAACATCAACTCGAACGGAACTGAAGTACAGGAGAAAACTGAAACTTCAAGTGTGAAAACCTTACCTACACCACATACTTTTGAAGTATGAATTTTGCATTGCATATCAACGAGATATATGCCATCAAATGTGTTCTCTTCATTTGAGCAAACTTCTTGAATAAGTTACTTGCATTACCTTTTTTCTCATCACGCATTGATATATTACCTGAGGCGGCCATTTGACCATTTGAAGGTAAGCTGATGCGATGAGCATCACTGCTCAGTGTGCTCAATACTGTCAGAACAACCACCAACAGCAGCATAATGCTGAGCAATGAGCATTTTCAAGCATTTCGCCACGTGGACTGTTAACGTGACTTATCCTACGTGAACAATCCACGTCAGCATGTTTTCTCCTAACCTAACCTATCTCTGTTTAACATTTTTTAATATTTTTTTTATTGTTTTGTACATGTCAACTGCTATGATAAACGAATACAAATTTGTATTCGTTTATTCTCTTTCAGTTCTTCTAGTTCTTTGCATGTTGTGAGAGGATTTGTTGCTAAAGCGCAAAAAGGAATTCATAAAGATTACTGAGAAGAAGAAAATTCATTTTTCCTCCCCTCAAAATCTCATAAGATGAACTCTTGCCTCTATTTGCATCTCATTTGATAATCCTTTCCAAAACAAAGGTATTTAATACGTAAATTAAATAGAACTTAACTAAAAAAGGTTAAATATTCAAATTTCGAGACTATATAGTTAACGAGGACTATTGCTTTTTGCACATTTTAATCCCACCATTGGTCCTCATGGCTTTCACTTGATTCAGAACTTTTCTAAAACAAGATAAATGACTGAAATCTCTCTTAGTTCCTTCGAAAAAATCGATTATATTAGTTGTTAGAGAATTTTTAAATTTTTCTTTACTTTCGCATTGTCTTTCTCTGACTGAGTACGACCAGCCAGATTGCCCTCTACTTACCCCCAGTTAACCTTTTAAGAAACTTTAAAAGAACTTTTAAATCCTTCCTTTTTTTTACACACACATTTCACACTCATCTATTATCTCTAACAGGCGACACGTTACATGCTAGATTCTGCTGTTGAGCACGTGTGTCTAAAATTACATTTCACACATGTCGTTCATCTTCATTTTGAGAAAAATTCTTGTTCTATCATTGTTGTTCTGTCCACCTATATGTTTTCTTTGCACTTTTTCCTAGCGAAACGGAAGATGCTCCTTCTTGTCTATTTGAGTTAAGTAGCATCACATCATACCGATCACAAAACAGTTTTGGAGAAATAAAAAAAACTTCTTAATTCGTGGGTCACCGATTGAGATGTCTTGGTTGAAAGTTTTTTCCATAAATCTTCCTCATCAAATCTTTCTCTCTTTCTCTCTCTTAACAGGTATTAAGTACTTGTCATTATGTGATGATGGAATATCATTTTTTGATTTCTTTCGTTGATTGAGAGTAAAGTTCGAGAGCGAGAGAGAGAACCAAGATTTCAGAAACTTTCTCACTTTTCTCTTTCAAATGAATGAATTTCAATGAAAAGTTATTGAATTATGAAGCGATAGGTGGAACCAGAGCCTGTTGTGAGTTGTTGGAGATCGACAAGTTGGGACATGAGAGGCGGGTTAGTGAATATATCAACTGGATCATATTATAACCTGTGGGGACATAGTGCCACTGTTGTGCACAGAAATAGCAAATCTTATTTACTTCCGACCTTTTCATCTTTCTTTGATGTTTTGTTTCGTTTTATTAATATGTAGAGTATGTTACATATGCAGCATTCGCCTGCCTTCTTCCATGCTGATGTTTCGTTTGTCCGAGACACAAGCGGATGGCCTGTTTCGGCTAACCCTCTGTTCCACTCTCTCTTTCTAATGATATCTGTGATATCATTTTACCCAGTCTCTAAATAACATCATCAACTTCATGATTTTCTTGAGCTTTTTCTACAATTCTTTTTCTTCTCTGCTCCCTTCATCTTCATCATATTTCCCTCCCCTTGTTTGACACACACGTTTGTTGATTTTAATCCGAGTTATGTTTTTCTTTCTCGTGATTACACTTCTAATAGTTTAAGACATCGGGTTTTTTCTTTTCGAATTAAAGAAGATCACGATCAGCTCTTGCAAGATCTTTTGTTCTCATCAATCTTCTCCTCTATTTCTTATATTTTCTTTTTTTTTAGAACAACTACTTATTACTCCAAGGATTCTTATGTATTCTTTGTTGGCTTTCACTCTAGTTTTCAACTTGCTCTCCACTTATGCTCAAAACGATCCATCAGGTAATTGCTCCTCTCACTCAAACACAATTTCCACTTTCTCCTCTCATCTCAGAGAATGCTGAATATTGGAACGAGTTGGCTGCTGAAAGACTGAGAGAAAAACTTCGATTAAGACCTTTAGCTGGTAAGTTGACTTCGGATTGTAGACAGTTTTTATTAGTTACGTAGCATCGGTGGTTCAGTGGTAGAATGCTCGCCTGCCACGCGGGCGACCCGGGTTCGATTCCCGGCCGATGCAACTCTCTTTTGATGCTTTTTCATTGTACTGATTGTGATGTTATAGGTCCTTTCCCCAAAAATGTCATATTTTTCTTGGGCGATGGCATGGGTTCAACAGTTATAACAGGTGCTAGAAGGCTAAGGGCTCAGAGAGAAAATGGAAAGTATTTAAACCGACCGCTGAACATGGAAGAGTTCGAGTTTACGGGTTTAGTGAAGGTATTGCACCCTCGTACTACTGCTATCGAGTACTTATGATTATGATTTAGACAAGTTCATATGATAAACATGTAACAGATTCGGCAGCGGGTGCTGTAGCTTTATTCACAGGTTATAAGGTGAGTAAATGTTCAGTTACCAATAATTATAACTAGCACTATAGGTTCTTCAAAAGTCTTTGGGTACTTTTCCTGGAAATACCACTAATATTGTTTTCGATGCGGGGGAGGCTCCCGATTGTGCAATAGATTCAAATTATTTTATAAATGATGGAATAGCTGAATTAGCTGTCAATAAAAACAAAAACGTTGGATTTGTGACGACAACGCGGATAACCCATGCAACGCCGGCCGCCTTATATGCAAAGGTATGTATAAATTATGTTTTTCATTTGAAACATAAATAATCTAGTTTATACTGATGATCTTTTACAAAATCACAGACAGTAGCACAGTGCGAGATGAGAGAGAGAGAGAGCGAGAGAGATTAGTGCAAATGAAAAACAATAAATGAAGTACAAATTAGTTATTTAGGGTGTGAACAGATATGTTGAATCCGATGATGAGTTCACTCAACGATTTTATCCAAACTGTAAAAATGCCGACATTGCCGGACAGTTGTTGAACCACCCAGCTGACAAATTCAAAGTATTTTCACATTCTCATGCATTATATGGAAATCATATAAAAAAATGATATTTAAAGGTATTAATGGGTGGAGGACGGTCTGGCCTTCATCCACAAAGTCAAGGAGGATCACGTATTGATGAACGCGAGATTGATTTGGAATGGCAGAAACTGGATACGTCTCGACGTCTCATTAATTCTTTTCAAGAACTGGAAGATTTCAAGCCAACTACTGATGAAAAAGTTTTGGGTTAGCATAAAAAACATGTCAAGATGATACAGAAAACACATTTCTAGGTTTATTCCATGATTCTCATTTTCCCTATCAGTTGGATGAAAAAGCGAATGGGACAAAGACTGTTCCGAGATTAGCAGAGATGACACAAAAAGCCATTCAAGTTCTCCAAATAAATAATACAAATGGATATTTCTTGATGATTGAAGGTTTGAAAGATTCATGTAGACTTGACTTCTGAACTGTTCTTTTCAGCTGGACACATTGATATGGCTGAGCACTTGAACCAGCTTCGAAAAAGCTTTGAAGAAGTTCTGGAATTGGATGACGCCGTACAAATGGTTAGTTGATCAACAACCGTTCATTTGATCGAGCAAAGAGTAAATGGAACGAAATTGAAACGCTCATGCCGTAATCACGTGAGTAACGTGAACACTTTACGTGGGCATCAAACCTACGTTCTGAAAACGACCAGATGACAACTAATTTGTTTGCAAAAAAAATTGTCAGAGAAATATTTAGTTATGATAGATGTGAACAAGATGATAGCTAAGATAGTTGTGAAATATAGAATTGAGTGCAAAACGTAATTTCAGGCTAAAACATTGACTGATCCATCTGAAACTTTGATCATCGTCACCGCTGATCATTCACATGCTTTATCTATGCCCGGCTATCTGAGTACATCTCAAGGAATTTTAGGTTTTTGTCATTTCTTTTTTCGTTTTTATTGGATACTTCATCATAACATTGAACGGACTCTGATATACAATTGTTTCAGAAACGTTTAATGTGGAAAACCGCGATCGTATGCCTGGATTCCTTTTCGCTGCTGGTCCTGGAGAGACTACAAGATCAAATTATTCTAAAGAAGAATCAGGTGAGATTCAGAAATCTCGGAAAATGCTCATTCGTTCGATCTAGAAAACAAAGACTTCGCTGCTCCTTCGCATATTTTTACGGAAAGCGGATACCACGGAGGAGAGGATGTACCTCTCTATGCTCATGGCCCATACTCATGGTAAGTATTACAAGAAGCTTGTCAATTTAAAAAAAAAATTACAGGCTTTTTTCTGGCTCTTTGGAGAATACGGAAGTAGCCTACAGAATAAAATATTTAATGTGCCTCAACCATGAATCAAGACTTTGCAAAAATTTCAAAAACAAAGATGCCGATGATGATCTGCTTGGTTCTGGTGGTGAGCAAAAGATCAGTTCAGTAATGAAGACTATATTCCCATTTTCAGATCTCGTAACACGTGTTCAACCAAAAACTTTAGTGACAATCACAGTTTTAGCTTTAACAGTGGCTTCAATATCTCTGGTCGCGTCACTGACTCTCTCCTTTATAATCATTTGTCGGAAAATACAAAACAAAAACAAAAACTTCTGTTTCTCCTACCCTCCTGAGTAGATTGAAACACGGAAAGCAGTATCTGCCTATATTCCTTAATATTTGTAAATAGTTTGTCTTCTATTTGTATACAGGGTCAAAATAAAACATAATAATCAACCTAATGTATATGTTCAATGAATAGCCTGAGGGCTATTGAGATTTTTCTCGAAAACTTTATTTGATTGATTACTTAGCTGGTTGACCTTCTCTCATTCGGCCAAACAACTTCACAGAAAAGTTTTAATAAGTTTGAAGGACAAATGATTCATTCGGAAGCTTTGGATGAAGCTTTCAAATTGTATGTAGAAGTGAGTCTGTGACCTTTCACATTGAAGAGTGAGAAAACGAGAGACTGGTTAACTCGATGTCTTGTTGCTGTTTTAGCTTTTCATGTTTTGACAGTTTTCTCATCTCTCAAATGGGATTTCCATGTGTGAAGTTGATGAGAACGGACGAGATGATGAGTCAGACGACTTAAACCATACGATGAGACGGAGAGATGAAGCAAAAACCCGTTTCTGCCCTGAGGCATATCTTGTGTATGGCAGATGAGAATGACGTCGTCATTTTTTTTCTAACCGTAAACGATGAGACATCACTTTGACACTCATAAAGCTGCCTAAGGACATCGACGTCATCAGTATGGAATTGCTTTCTCATTTTTCTCTCCATCTTTGTCTCCCTCTCGTCTACCATCAATTTCCTTTTGTACTTGCCTCTCTAAAGAAAAGTTTGTCTTCTCCTGCCATAATACAGAAACTAATTGTATGACCCTGGGACCGCCTACATCCATTTAAGACACACGTGCGATACCATCCTCCCTTTATAAGGAACAGCTTCACCACCTGTACATCACAATTTTTGTCTGCAACACAAAAAAAATGTTCCGGTATCTGGCTGTTCTAGCCGTATTACTCCCATCTGCGGCGGCTAACTTTGGTATGTTTTCTCAGATCTTGATCAAGAGTATACTTTCATTTAGGAGGATGCTGTGGAATGTCACTGCCACCACCACCTTGCCCACCACCTGTATGTGCTCCAGTTCTACCACCACCACCATGTCCACCACCTCCAATCTGTCCACCACAGTTCTGTCCTCCACCACCACCATGTCCACCTCCTCCACCTCCACCACCTCCACCAATGTGCCCACCACCACCTCCAGTATTCAGTCCATGCCAAAGTTATGCACCTGCTCCAGTGTTCGCTCAGGTAATTTCTTTAGAATTATGCAATTGTTTTAATCTCTTTGTTCATTCAGTATGCCGTACAACCAGCTAATGATTGTTGCTGCCGCTGTGGAAGCCCTTGTCATTACAGAGCTCGTCATCGTACTCACGGCTCAAAGGTTCGGTAGATAATTGTCGCCCTTCGTATGATTAAAGTTCAGATTTTCTCTGCTGCATCAATCGAAGCTGAAGCTGAGGAGGATCCAACTTGCAACAGCAGAAAATTGAAGGCTGTCATTGAAGATGTAAGTTTGTGATGATTTTTTTATATCACGAGTCAATGAACTCTCATTACTCTATTGGAATGAGATAGAGAGATAATTTGTTAAAGAGACAGAGAGAAAGAGAGGAACAAGAATGAAGAGAGAAGGTGATTGGGGGTAAGAAAGTATCATTTAAAGTAAAAGATAAGGATGCCATTTGTTTCTTTTAACAATGCCATTTAATAGAAATGCATGTTTAAAGCAACCTCAAGGTCATTCTCGTGAAGAAAATGTTGATGTTCAACAGTTTTCCATTTCTTATTTTAACATCGATAAGCATAAAAAACATAATTGGAACAAAAATCAGAAAAGGAGTCATTTGAAAAATTCCGGTTTTAAAAACATTTTTGTTTCATATTTTGTATCAGTTAAATTAGTTTTGTAGTGAAAGTACCAATTGATTCCATATTGAGATTACTAGAAGAACATTTTTGTTACCAAATCTACTTTTAAGCTTCTTCTTATTCTTTTTGAAACCGGAAATCCAATTTGTGACTCACGATCCATCTTGTTTTATTTCTTTTATGATTGTAATTATGCATGTTGTTCAAAAAATCTTAATTGACTTTTGAATGCAACCGCTCATCTTTGCATTCTGACAATGACAATGCATTCATTCACGTGAACGGCGTCACACGTGAGATGCTTCGTCATAAATCTATATATACATATACAGTTAAGAGAGAAGGAGATAGAAGCAGATGAGACGAGATCAAATATTAAAACCTATTTATGAACAAAATAATCCTACCAACAACGTATACATTTCAGAACATAACTGAAGATCCAACTATCTCAAAGAGAGCTATCCAAAAGGCTGCTGAAGAGAAGCTTTTCGGTAAATTCAATGTAATCTGCGCTAAAGGAGATTTTTCGTATGTCGCATATACGGAAACCTATTGTCAATATTCAAATGACGACGTCACATGCTATGCATTCCGTCCAATGTAACTTAGATGCATCTCAGCATTATCATGTTCAACTCTTTCTCACTTTTTTTTCTCCTCTTTTCAACCATCCAATTATTCACAGCTCACATTAGAAATAATTTAGATGCTTAACTATATAATAATAATATAATCTGTATATCTCTGAACATTCACACATTCCTTTAGCCATCATTCACAATTCCTTTCCACACCCAATTACCATAGAAATGGAGAAGACGAAAAAAAAGACAAAAAAGGACATATAAGCGAAGAAGAGATATTCTCCTTTCTTATATTCCATTCATGATTCTCACCTTTGGTGTTGTTACAGATGAACTACATCTTAGCAACCACACATATGATAGAGCAAAAATCTTTTTTTCCCTATTATCCTAATGTTCTAGTCACCCCCCATTGACTTCCTCCTTTTCTCAACTAGCCTCCCAGTTCATCCATTGTTTGTAAAATAAAAATAGATGAAAAGAAATTTTGCATTTACCAGCAGTTTCTTCAAATTCATTTCCTCTCTCACTCTTTCACACTTCTTCCTTCATTTCATGTTACTTTGTTTGTTTTTTTCTCCATTCTATCTTTCTTATGCATTTATTATAAAAATATAATTTTGAAAAAGTCATTTATCTTCACAAAATTCTCAAATAAACACTCATTGGCATACTGATAGATGAAAGAGATTCCTAATGATGAATGATTGGAAATTACAGGAAACTCTACTTCGATACCAAACATGTCTTTTTGGACAACAATGAGAGTACAAAGTAAGATTTCCGAAACTCTAAAAATTGAACTGGCAACATACAACACATATAAGCTTCACATGTCTTCATTAGCTATTCGTGAGAGCTTTCCGATTAAAACACAAAAAAATAGAGAGTATCAACGATCTCTTTAACTCGAGATGTGTGATTAATGTTTCAGTTGACATTACTCTTCCTTGAAGCTTGCTAAGAGTTTCGCACTCCCTCTTCTCTTATTCTGAGTCTCCAGCTTCTTCTTATTCCTTTTCTAGTTTATTATGCAGTTCGTTTCTTTTTTTTTCTTGTTCAACGGGTTCATATAAACATTTGTCGAGTTCAACAAATCCATGTTGCAATGGTTGACAGGCGCACATTTCCTTGATTTCATGCAAAGTCAGGTTATTCTTCATGCGGAAATTAATTTGAGAAAATACATTTCAGTTAACTCAAATTTGATTTTTTTTCTCCTTCTCTTTTTCCCCTTTTCTGATTTTCATTTCATAACAATGGAAGATTAAGATGTTCCTTTCATAGAACACATCTCGCATCCTTTCTCTTTTAAAAGCCAAAGTGAAGAACGAAGAAGGAGATATATGTATAGAGAGAGAGAGAGAGAGAGAGAGAGAGGGAGAGAGAGAGAGAGAGAGGGGGAAAGAGGAAGAAAGCTGAGAAAAGAAAAGGCTGTTAAGAAATCAAAAAGAGAAGTAGTGAGGGAAAGAGTAAAAGAGAGAGAGAAAGGGTGGGAGTAAAAGTGAAAACCTCGTATTGCATTGCACTAGCCTTTCGTTACATTGCTAATTCTATAAATTTTCTTCGTTCTCTTTGTATTTTTCTTTTTCGTCGCTTTTCAAAATATTTCAAAATTGGATTAATCTTTCACGTCAAAAGCTTCACGTAAATTCATTTTATCATCTGTTGTAAGCACAAAGCGGTTGCATGTTTATTATTTTCATTTTTTTTTCTTCTTCTATTTCCGTTTTCCTAAAATCAACAAAGGAATAGAAATCAGATTTGAAGACGGGAAAACACCTATTTGTCCTTTTTCTTCTCAAATACCAGGTGGAGTACGTTTTTTGAACATTTGTCTCCTCAATAAAGCAATTACAAATAGTTAAGAACTAGCAAAACAGAGAGAGAAAGAAAAAAATGTCTGCTTCCGTCTGATTTCGTCGTTTTAATTAATTAATAGAGTGCAAAATGATAAATTACCTTAAGTAGTGTGAAAAGAGAGGGGGAGAGCTGCGGAGAGAAGAATGTTGAAAAACATATTTTGTAATCATTAAGTTACTGCCAATGTGATGCGATAAGGTCTATATAAATCATCGATTGAACGAACTTTCTGAATTTGGATTCAACAAGAAGGTTCTGTATCTACCCCTCTCTCTCTCCTCCAATATATATTCTGAACTGTTGCCCATCCGATTCTTTGCCGGATTATGCAAATGCAAGTACACATAGAGTTTCAAAGCAGAAAGATTAGAGCCTCATTTTGCTAGTTAATTATATTTTTTTCCAGGTTGAAAAAAATATATTTCAAAAGAAGGGAAAAAAAACTTAAAACTAAGACCATTGGTTGTTTTGATACGAAAAAGTGCAAAATCCTACGTAAACCTTTTTTTTCTCAATTTTCTTACAAAAAAATGAGGAAAAGGTGAAAATGATATTAGAGAAGGGAAAAGCAAAAGAGTGATCGACGAGGAGAAAGCAAGTAGAGAGGGGGGGGGAGAGAAAAAGGCAAAAGTTGATGATGTGGAGTGTGAGGAAGTATTCACACCTGCTGTCTCATGCTCTTTTTTGGTTCAACTAATCCCTTTCCTTTTTCAATTTACTTTTTCACTTTAAGCTCTTTCTCATTAGAATGGACATGTGAAGTGAGTGCTTGTGAAGTAAAAATCTGGGAAGAAAAATTTTGAAAGTCCGATCCGTGACGCTCCGTTCAATTCGGTTGCTAAGCGTTAAGCTTCGTTTTGTACTGATGTTTGTTGAAAAGAAAGTTTGTATTTTTAGAATCAGAATAAGGTAAATTGATCTCTAGAGACACTAGCTAAGAGCAAAGGAAGAAGAGAATGAGAGTGATTTGCGAATACATCTCGATCACGACATGTAGAGAACAAGCTGAGGACAAATCCATAGTTTTTATATTTTTTAATAGCATAATTAGCATAAATTAGAATGTTAATGATGTATGGATATGTATGTGATTTCCTTAAAGAGAGACTCACATAAGCTAAGAACGTACGAACGTAGGAGTGACGAAGAGAGCAGAAGAGAGGGAAGATTGGATTGCTCTTCTCGAGAACAGACACAATAGGAATAAACATAACACATTCAATGAGAACTTCTTTTTTCTGAAATGAATGAACTCAACATATTTATGTGTTTAATCAAAACATTGTCATATCTGGCAGTTCATTTCTCAGCTGCTCATTCATAAGCAACTTCTTGGAACTTCTCATTGTTGAAGAGGATGAATTACTAACGATTTACAACCACTTAAGTAAGTTTTCCCACGCTTATTTCCTCCTTTCTTTTTCATTTTTTTGACTTATTTTTAAAAAACTTTTGCATCCATCCTCATTGATTTTTTAAATAAAAAAATTTGATTTTTTTTTCATTCAATCCGTTGCTTCTTGATGCCATCTGTGAGAGTGAGAGAGATCGCTAGACGAACAGAAGAGCAGACTGTTCAAAGTGCTCTTTTGTCTTTAAAAACTAATTAAAAATTCATTTTCATCAAGAGCACAAACCGACTGACCAGAAGAATTTAAAAAAAAAGATTTTTGCTATATAAATAGAACAAGTTTTACCTTTTTGAACTTGGAGTGATCTGAGATCTTCAAAGGTCTGCTCAATCCTCACCTAGCAGTCTTGCTCATTCATACTTCCTTTTGTCTTCATTTGCTTTCTCGTCTTTGCTTTCACTTTGACAGAAAGAAAATTTTCATTTAAAAAAAAAACTTTCCTCTCCATACATTGTGTTGTTTTCAAATCGAAAAAATTGGGAAGAATTTGTTTTTCCGTGAAAAGCGAAAGAACGGAAAAGCATTGCAGAAGGACGAACGATTCATACGCTTTGGCTTCCATCTATCACACTTCGCCATTGTTTTATTTGATTCTCTTATTTCAGTTCAATATTATTAATCATAATAATATCTAGTAGTATCTTATTCTTCCTATTTTTTTTCGAAAAGTTCAATGAAGTGTATGAAGACGGTTAGACTTTCAATATGCCGAAGGGCTTGTCAAGTATCTTCAAGATCTGATATACAACAAGTAGTATAAGTGAGCTTTTGATAATTGAAAGTTATATCGTTTTGTGAGCATCATTAATGAAGTGGTAAAGATTTAAATGAATTGAGTGTAAATAGTTGTTGAAACAATAAAAGTACGATGAGGAGGTAGAAAAAAATAAAAATGATGTGCTCTCTTAAAAGATGAAGAGAGAGAGACGCACACATGCAACTACACATACACATACACATACACACACACACACACACATACTCACATACCATTGGCATCTTTGCCATTTTTAGTTTCCTTTTTTCATCTCTTCTTCTTGTTCTGTTTGATTTTGTTTAGAAAAATGATACGATGAATAGAAGAAGAAGATGAAAAGAGAAATGATTTCATATTGTTTCAAATAATTATTTTTCTTTGCACAATCTTCTCTTCAAATTACTTTTTTTTTCCGTCATCGGCTAGCTTGTGTTATTCGCTGAGTATTCCTCTCTATCCTATCCAATTTCTCCTTTTTTTCCAGTTAGATATGGAAGCTTCATTTGATTATATGCCCGATCAAGACATACCACCTCCAGATATGGAGACTGCTAAAGGAATTATGGTTATTATCTACTGTGTTGTTTTCTTCATCGGTACTCCTGGAAACCTTTGGATTGTTTATAAATTATTGAGAGCCAGGTAACCTTTCTTTTCATCCGCACTCTTTCATTTGCATATGTTATGCTTTTCATTTTGTTGCACTTGCTCTTTATCAGCAGTATCTACTACTGTTGGCATCTTCTACTTCTGCAGCTTCATATCTATATATTTATAGATTATGGAGCTCTTCAGCTGCTCATCTTACAGTATCGCAAAGATCTCGTTTATACATATTAGCATTAGCTTGTTCTGACTTGTTACTTCTACTAACTTTGCCATTCACTGCTAGCTACAACTTCTATGGAACATGGATCTTTGGTGAAGCTGTCAGTTTTCTTTTCATTTTTGTATAATCTGCATTATTTATTCATATTCAGCTTTTTTCCAACAATTTACAGCTAAAAAAAAATATTTGTTGAATTTCAGCTTTGCTACATCACGTTGACAATCGAAATAGTCACAAAGATATTCTCTGTCGTTCTTCTCACAGTAATGAGCTTGGAGCGATATGTCATCGTTTGTACAAGGTTTATCACTAACCATATCAGATGATAGATATTGATATGTATCTGCTATTTATAGGCTTCGAAATTCATTTCAATCCTGGATGTCTTTAGTTCCATTGGCTTTGGGCACTTTCTTTGGTGTCGTATTACCATCCATTTTCCATTTTGTCCACATCATTCATCAGAATATTAATTTCGAAGAAAATGAACGTGTGGATGTTGATGAGGTACGTATAATCAGTAGTTGTTATCAAGAGCATCAGTATTATCATCAGCTCATCATCAACTTGCTCTTGTTGCTCTCTTTCTCTGTCGTCTCTCTCTCTCTTCTTGCTCTCTCTCTCACTCTCTCTCTAACTCATTTCTTTACGAAATTAAGCTAATTATTAAATTATTATTTTTTAAATATTTTGCATAAACAAGAGAGTAAGAAAACATCATTCGCTATGTATTGAATGCGTTTTGATTAGATTGCATGTTGACGTAACATACAAGCTCATTTGCATAATTTGGAACAAAAAAAAAAGAAAAAGGAACGTGAAGACGTAACGAAGTCATCACTTTGTTCGTCCGTGAACGCACATATCGGTTGACTGTTCAAAATTCATATATTATATTTATCTATTTGTTTGTTTGTTTCTATTGAATCTAGCCAGACATGAGGTACATGTGAATATTTTCAGTTTCCTGTAACTATTTGTATACCGAATATGGATGAGAATATCTTTGTCTACTATGCACATTATACATTTGTAACGGGATTTGTAATTCCATTTATAATAATGACTTCATGCTATATCTTACTTGTACGTCATGTAAAACAAAAATTTCGAAATCGCAAAGGACACTTACGTAAGTACTTAACTTAAACGCTTTTCCATTCATTCATCCTTCCTTCGTCGCATACTTACACAAGAATATTATATTATTTATTGCAGTTACCGTATCAGCTCAAAAACGACTTCGTGAGCCACGCTATTTGATGGAAATGAGAAAGTCAATTTGGCGAATTGCCATCTTCCATTTCATTTGTTGGGCACCATTTTGGCTATTTACCATAACTCCATTTTTTGTTCGAAGCTTCGCACCAATTACAACAATCTGGTCAACAATTTTTTTTATAATATACTATGTCTAACTATGCACTTTTAGGGTTGTTTATGGACGATTATTTGCAAATAGCTTACCATACATTAATGCTGCAGGTTTGTCAACATTTAAAGTTTAAAATGATATTATCCAATCATAGAAATAAAAAGAAATTATTCTTCTGATCATTCAACGTTTTCGTTGTTTTTTTCATTTTTCACACAGTCAACTTTTGCTTTTTGAGATAAATACAATGTGAATGCTTTAACTACATAATAGTTAGCGCACACACATGGTTAGCTGACGAAGTGAATCGCTTCTCAATCTGCTTCCATGCTTCATTCCAAAATTGATGAGAGAGATACAGAGTGAAAGAGATAGAGAGATACAATTTTAGAAATGGCTTCCTGAGCCTGTAGTCTATCTCATTTTAATCAAATGCCATTCCTGAACATCGTTTAAGCATCAATCTGACTGTATTCAAATCAGAAAAGAGTGGAGAAGAAAAAGATAATGTCAACCGTTCTGATTGCTCTGCTCAAGTCATGAACGCCACGTTTGCCACGTAAATACTTGTGCATAACACGTCATCCACGTAGCTAAGGCGTGAATTAAGAAAGCAATAAATCGGGAGAGAGAGAGAGGGAGAGTCTGAAGGAAAGAAAAACAATTAAAGAACTAATGTAAGCAAATACGTATTTCAGGCAACTGGGTATTGTATGCTGTGTTGAATTCGGATGTGAGGAAACACATATACCATCAACCTCAGAAAACAAAAATATCTTACGGCTTTAATGCTCCCCGCATTTGCCACGTAACTCTATCGCGATGAAAGCGTTGAAATTAGTGATGATAAGAATGGCGCCATGAATATGCTTCTACCATTCATATCTTATCTGAAATTCGGAGTTTATATGAAAAAGAAACCTTTTATTTACTCATTTTCATCTTCTTACCTGTGCCAGCAATCTATTGGCCGCCTCCTACTCTCACTCTTCTTATCACTATCAAAGATTCCATTTATGATTTCAATCATTATTGTTTGCTATCTAAGTTTCAATCTATTCTTATTGTCTCTGTATGAATTGGAATTTCATATGTATCCTGCCGTTTTCACGTATCTTTCACTCTCTATCTCTCCATGAGCTAGAGAGCCTCTTTGACTCGGGTTTCCTCTTAACGAGTACTTCTATATACCTTGTTCAAACTATTTATTAATATGAATAAATGACTATATATCTGATAACATGTGAGAAAATTTGCTGCAAGCTCTTTCTTTATATAGGGACTACGCCTTGATGTCTGCGTGATGAGCTCCAAACGTTAAGGAGAGCCTTTTGTTGTTGTTCGTTTAACGGCTGTTGCATGAATCTAATCAGTCGTGCACGACGTTCAGAGTCCGAAAATGGTTGAACCCTAACAAAAAACGGAACTATATTTATAAAAATAAAAATATATGCATACCCAAAAATCTTTTGAAGCTCATTAACTTGTCGTCCATTGTAAGCCAAATTCATAGCATTAGCATATGCGATGATCTGTATATAGGATGTGTATGTGAGATAGATGAGAGATGCATATAAACTTACCGCAAAAATACAGAAACCAACAATGTAGAAGCTTTTCATTACAATTCTAGAAAAGTTACAGCTGTCTTCTCTCATTTATAACAACTTGTAACAGCCAAAATATTTATTTAGCTGCTTTTTTACGCATTTCTTTTTCAAACGCATTCAGGTAAAACGACAAGTTGATCCAACGGAATTTGTCCAAAAAACAAATATTTTGCGATTATATGGCTTTCAAAAGAATTTTTACATTATTTACTATTTGATTTTCTGATGAAAAAATGCAGTTGAAAGTTAAAATTGGCATTAATTTGATAACATAGAAAGTGTCAATCGATAAGTGCTTAGTATAGGTCTTTTGGGTAAGATGAGAAGAGATGCTCCTACATACACATTCAAAACCTTCTCTCGATGCATTTATCGATAAAGAAAGGAATCTAACGATCTTGCTTATCAGTCCTTATTCGCTGTCATTTGAGTACTTCCCATCTTTTGCTTCGAGGTTCTGCAAAAGGTATATCAATACTTTTATTTTTTTGCCATCTTCTGGATGCCTCATTCCTTCATTCAGTTGAGCACTGGCAGTATCATATCGCATTCTTTTGGAGATTTGTAATGACATTATATACATTAATAACTTTTGATTTAATCATGATCCATTTATCTTTGATACTGCACTTGTAGCTTCAACTATCTCAAGTCAGCATTTGTCATTGAAGAGGTATTCTCATTTGAGTACAATTCATAACTTTTACAGTTACAATGTAACTTTTTATTTGTAAGAATCTTATCATTGTTATCTAATCTTCCTCGTTAAAGCTTTACACATCATGTGAGCTTATATACCTTTTACACCACTGATATGAGGAATATCTTTGACTGATTTGTGCCATTATCGCTTCTTATTAAAACATTTATTTCAGTTTGCCAACCTGTCCATATCAATAATGAACTATACAGTGAAAAAGGTATCAGCAATCTTGTTTCTCGTTTTTTTTTGAAATCATATGCTCGTTTTAGAGATTTGAAGATGATGTGAGCAATTTTACTACACCAGCTCATAGTCGCCAAACATCTAGCGATAACTATCAGCCTCTAATTCAAACGCCTCTTCTTGCTCGCTTGACTCAGGAATTTGATCAAGATCATTATAGAACTATACCCGAAACAGAAGAACCCGATGAGGCTCATGCTATTTTACATGATTCTTTAATACCGCATCATACAAGAGCTGTTTCTGAGGTACTCTCATCTGGGCATTACCATTCTACCATTCCTGAAGAGTATCGAGCTTATGGAGAAACGAATACTGTACAATACCAAAGTTCCTACAGAAATGTTGATATTGTTCAGCGTTCCGCTGAAGATATAATCCGTGAATCTGTGCGTGAAAATTATTATAAAAATTACGCTGGAGATCTTGCACTGCCCACTGCTGTCGTTTCAGCAGAACGGAGAAGTGCAAGTTCGCATCTTAACTTGCACGAAAGTAGCATAGCTGCTGATGTATGGGCGAACATGAAGGCGGAATTATTCTTGGAAATTCCGATTATCCGCGAAAACACATTTGAAAATCCTTGGTCATACCAGAAATTCCTCGAACGTCAGCCTTATCTTGTGCGATCAAATTCCGACCATACGGTGAAAGTTGATGTTCGCTCTGAAGTAAATTTGGCTGAAGCCAAGCAACTCATCCAAGCTCGTTACTTCAGCGAGAGACTGCTGGCGTCGGTGGATATATCGTTTAATCAGGTTGGAGAACAGTCGAGAGTTCTCCTTTTGAGTGAGGAATTCTCTCCACGTAGTTTACATTTTCTTCTTTATTGCGGGCAATCGCAAAGTGGAACTCAACATGGATCAACTTTAATTCAGAATGTGGAGACAAATATACATCATCAAAGCTCCTCGAGTCATTTGGAAGAGAGACGATATGATGACGTTAGCACAACTTCTATGCGACACGATTACACGTATGTGCCCGCCGCTACAACTGTCCTCACGACTGAAACTCATACTCAGCTAGCTGATCAGATTCAAACTGCCATACCGACCTATACCCCCATTACAAATTATGAAGCGTATACTGTTCGAACTGAGAATACAGTAGCACCTGCCGTTACACACATACCGGCCTATACCCCCATTACAAATTATGAAGCGTATACTGTTCGAACTGAGAATACAGTAGAACCTGCCGTTACAACCTCGTATAACTATTCTTATGATGATCATCATCAATCTACAGTAAGAAGCTATTCCCCCACCCCAGCTTTTACAGAAACATATCGGCGAACTGAGGAAATCATTAATCATGAGCCCGTGACTACGAATGTAACTTCTTATGAAACCCATTCGTACGTAGCGGATGAGGTAATTCAAACTGCTATACCTAGCTATACACCCATTACAACTTTCGAAGCGTATCTTCGAACTGAGAATACAGTGGAACCAGCTGTTACAACCGCTCAAGACTACACTTACGAAACTCGTATCAGTAACTCATATGGATATAATGAGCCCGTTATTTATGAAACTCCTGCAATTGCATCTCACGAGACGGAGACACACAGTGTTCAAGCTGACGCTTATGTAGAATCTACAACTTTGCAACAATCTCAGCATTTCACCGCGCAGGAAGAATATCACTATACGCCTACACCAATACCGATAAGACAGTATGATTCAGTTATTCATCGAACTGAGGTGACCCACGAAGAGAAACCGTACATAGTTGAGTATGATACGGTCACAACAACCGTTGAACCAACTGCAACGTACGATTACTCAACTACTTACCAGAGTAACAGTCACAATATATCAACATTGTATGATGAAATTCAGGATACTATCACACATATCCAATTTCCTCTTCATGGTAGTGTGACTCATGTCCACACAACGGAAGAACATGTTGAGCATGTTACACCTGTCTTGGCACCAATTATTGAAGAAAGGACTGTTACAGTCACGGATAATAGCGTAACTACTCTTCGGGAACAACTACTAACTTGCGAAGAGAAGTTGAGACAGAAAGAAGTTTACGAGTCATCAAGACGTCACGAGTTGGAGCTCCGCTCAGAACAAGACAGAATACGCTGCCAAGCGGCCGAAGCTAATGTCCTCGATTTAACTGTTAAGCTGGAAACATGTGAGAGGAAACGTCGTGAAGAATCTTCTTTGCAAACCAGTGTTCATCAAGCTGTATTGGAAGAAAAAAGTCTTCGCCAACAATCTGAAACTGAAATTCATCATCTTCGTGCCAAGCTCCATGAATGTCAACAGGCATTGGTTCATGAAAGATCCGTGCAAAGCGCCAACTTCTTGGAGATGCAGCAGAGAGCTGAGAAGGAGCATATCACCGGACAAGAATATGAAGTTCGTTTCAATAATCTCCACTTGAAGTTTAAAGATCTGGAATACCAACTGAAACAACAACAACAATCTGAACATGAGAAACTTCTCGCTGAAGAGCGCAAGTATCAAGAAATTCATCAGCGCGGACAAGATGAAATCGCAGCTCTCAAGTATCAATTACGTAATTATGAAGTGAGAGTCCAACAAGAATCCATCGACATATCAGCATTCAAAGCTCAGGAGGCAGAGCTCGCTAAGCAAAAAGCTTACATTGCTCAAAGAGAAAGAGACCTAAGCATCCAGTTGACTGAGTATAACGTACGCCATTCACAGGAGCTGAAGAAAATTAGAGAAGAGGAGGAGCGACTCAGACGAGAAGTTTCAAGCTTACAGCTGGCAAAGTCTGAATTAGAGCGTGTTCATGCACACTCACAGACAAGCATTAGAGAAGAGTATGATATGTACCAGAGAGAGCTAGCTCTTTCTAATGAACGATTGAGAAAACAGTCTGCGGATCTCAAACTCAAGATTGAAGAAATCAATTTATTGAAGAAGCAGTTAGAAGAATCCAAACAAGTGAGCAAATTTGTTATTTTATCAACATAACTAAACCTCTTTTGCAGAAAGAGCGTATATATGATGAAGTTCATGATGATAACCAAGGATCTCCACGCAGTAGAAGGTGAAATTTCATTTTGATTTGTAGATCTTGATAACCGGTTGTTTTCTTTCAGAGGAAATTTGCAATTTGAAACTTTTGAGACGAAAACTGTCATTCAAAGATCAACCAGAGGTAAGTTCTCAAAAATTATGCAAATTAGTTAGTATTTTGATTGCTATGATAACGTGACTGATGAGTTTTCGTTGTGACGATTAGCATCCATACCTACGTTCATAACTCTCACTCAAACAAACTATCATATAACGTCTGTGATTCCAGAATATACAGTAGATGAGAACGATTACGAAGAAATTGGCGGTTACAAAAGTAATTACTTTATTTGTAGTTGTTTTCATGAAAACAAACTTCAGAACAAGAACATATCTATGAGGAGCCTAAGACCACAGCCGTTAACAAGGTTGTTTATGCCGAAGCTGATACAACAGACAATCACAAGAAGAGACATCTCATTGATGGTAATTAGCTTTGAAGTTATAAACTAAATTGCATAATGTTGCAGTTACCATTCCAAAAACATCCGTAACTGTAGGCGTTAGCGTTGGCAATTCCGGCTCAGAGCATAGTAATGATCTATACCATCTTCAAATATAAAATATCTTTCAGAGTTCGAAAAGAACATTTATGACGATGTAGCCACTACTGATTTAACCATAGGTACAGGTGCCGGAGTGAGTTCTAGCAAAATCATCAGCATGAGCAAGCGTAACAATTGGGGAGATGAAGAGGTTTCATCAACCACTGGACACTATTCTGCTATTCCACACGGTCCGTCATTCTTTCGTCCTTCTGTTTTTCCGTTTCTTTCACCCTCAACCTCGTCATGCTCATCTGATATATCAGATAATAATATGGGAATATTTAAAATGCTTAGATTTCAATCGTTCATTTATAAGTTTTTCTATTGTCGAAACTATTTTCCGAATAGCAATCGTCTACTTATTATATTCGGCCTCTTGGCTATTTTACCTTTCATAATCAAATATTTATATTCAACAAAATATTTTAAACGGTAGATCTCACAACGTCAGCACTTGCACTGGAAAACTTGGTGTTATATATAACTGATGTTAAACCGTTTTCTGCTATGTTTTTCCGATCACTTCAATCACCCAATCAGCCTTTCCTCAATTTTCCTCGGACACACGCTTAATTTATCAATTTTTAGTCGAAAGCATTCCTCCACCATTGAATATCACTCCATCAACTGTAGGAAGAGGAGGTAATTAAAAATTCTGTAGATGATCAAGTAGCATCTTGTGTTTCTTCAGTTGAAGTCACCGATGAGAGTGGACGCAAGCATACAGCTGTCAGAGTAGATCAAACCTCCTACTCTCCAAAAGAGCATCATGATAATCATCATCACCACCAGGGTTTAGTGGAGAAAGCTCGTCTCCGTTATGAAGAGTGAGATCTGTGTTGATAGAATTATTGTTAATCGAACAATTCAGAGTGCTGAAAAATAACAGCCCATCCTACTCAAGCTCCGGATCGTCGCATACTTTCGAGAAGGAAGTGTCTGACAACATGGTAACCAGCACTGAAGAAGTATTCAAGCAAGAGGTACAACCTGAACTACTTTAAGTCAACTAAACATTACCCTATTTAGGTAACTGTTGTTGAAAGTGTTAGTAGTCCATATACTATTGAGAATCGTCCTCATGTTGCTGATTTGAGAAGGTCAATATAATTTATTTGCAAGTAATAACTTATGAATTGTAGACAGTTTGAGAGAGGAAGTACCCCTGTTTCACCAGTGCCTCCCTCATCTCCAGCTAGACACGTACTATCTCCTCCCCCTAGTGAAGCTCCTACTCATCAAGCACCATCTCCAACTCCTTCCCACGATGGCACCGGTAAACGACATGTAACAAGATCTGTCAACAATTACGTGTAAGTTTTCTTATAATTTTTCCTAGATTAAATATATTGATAGAATACAGTGCAATCCGAATGACACCTATGTAAATGAGTTTATTCGTTCCAAGCTCTTTTCTCTTCGCTAAAAAAAACGCGTGATGAGTATTAAAATTCATCCTGCTCAGCCAAAATATTTTCTTTGAAATAGTTTTAGCTGGCAGATTGGATCCTTAAATCATTCGGATTGTTTTCCCGATGTTGTTCGTCCTTTAAACCAATCCTTTGACCAATTATCTTTGGATTCGTGAATAGTATCAAGAAATCCAGCTTTCCCTTCTTACCTCTATAACTTCCAAATAGGGATGAGGTTATCAGTTGAAAGTTAATGCTTCGAAGTTTTAGTGCTACTCCACCTGCTTCCGTTTCGATCGGAGGAAGCAAAATAAATGAGCTAATTTCACGTTTCGAAAACAAGAACTAGAATCTATGATTATCTATGATTCAATTATATTTATTTGACTTTAATAGTTCACTTAAGCCTGCTATTCTTTTATTCCACTGCAAATAAAAATTATAATCATCAAGTTTCTTCTTCTTCTTCATTTTTCATTTTCAATGCCTATTACCTGGAGATTTTTGGATAACGTTTTCAAATAATGCAAATTAGGCATATGAATCATTCAATAAGCTTCTAAGCATTCATTATGACCACTTTTACCTTATTGACCTTTTATGTATCACTTTCGATTAGCTAACCGCAACTTGCACATACAAATCAAATATGCTTTTTGCATTCAAAAGGCTATAATGTCAATCAGTTCGTCGCATCTGTCTATTCGTCCATTTTCCTCTCTCAGACGACCCTCTCTGTTTTCACTTAGTCTTTAAGCCACAATAATTGCTCAATTCTACTTTCTAATCCATACCACATGATAGTTGAGGTTTACAATGTGCAATATCTTCAGTCTTTTAGTTTATTTTGATGCTGTCAAACAAAAACTTCTTCAGACCGCTTTTTTTTTCTTCACAGACGACAGAACGGTTGCATTTACTAATTTTCTCTCTCTCATCTTCGGTTTTCTCTCATTGTTTACCGCACTCTCTCATTATTGTCTTTCTTTCCCTTTTACATCTAAACATGACAGGACAGCTGGTTGAGTAGTCATGAGGCTGTCGCTAGAACCTCATCGACCTCTTGCCTTCTTTGACCACAAGGCTTCTGCATCTACATATGTATGTATGTAACGAATTTACCATCTATATGACCATTTTAATTTATTTTTGTAACCTCAAGTATTACTTCATCTTCGTCTCTAATTTATTGTTTTGGCTTATACATTCGTCTTTCTTGAGAATGAATGCCATTTCAACATCTTCTTACTGACTGGTAGAAGCATCTGCAAGCTTATTCTCTATCTTTAACACTCAGCTGCGATTAGTCATTCGTTTAGTTTTTTTTTTTTTTGTAAATCATTCCTCATCCTCCCTTGTTCTTGCACTAGCTATCTAACCTCAAGATGATTTGAATAACTTTTTCAAACATCAAAGTAGGTCATTGTTGTTTCACCATAAATTACATACCTTTTTTGATGTCCAAGAAAAAACGAAAGAAATCTATTTGAACTGGATGGTTGAATCGTTTGGATGAGCATTCGAGTATAACTTCTGTCATCCTCTACAACTACCAATTCGAATGCTTTATCCAGCATATGGACGATTTCCAATTCATTTTTTTTTGTGACTCTAAGAGAAATGAAATCAACAATTGCGCTTCTGAAACTTTTTTTTTCTTTTTTTTCTGGAATTGACTGCCTCACTGCATGATTTACACGACTATTTGCTTTTTTCTTTTGAAATTTAATCTTCGTTAGTGTCAAATAGATCAATGAACATGAATCAATTTGTTTTTGGCTGTAAAAGGGTCAGTCAAATGTATGTATTTTGTGAGTTATTTTGGAAAAATGTTACATTTCAATTGCGCGAAATGCTACATTACAATAGTGAATGGGGGGAAAAGATAGAAATGGCATACATAACTATGTGTAGATGTGAATGAACGCATCGTCAATAACTGAAATAAGAAGAGACCTGTGATGTTCAACCATCTCTCCATAGCTAGCCAACAACTCCCCCCCCCCTTTTCCTATTGAATGCGTGAAATCGATTAGATTGTCGATTTTGCGACAATTGACAGAACAAGAGATGAGAGAGAGACATTCTGTAATAGCCAAAGAATACCGAATACCCATGATGGGTCAATGAACGACTAGTCTGATGTTGTTTAAATCAGAAGGCACCTTTAGGCCATTGCAAACGATGTTTTCAACTTAATTCTATTTCCTGGCTGTGTGCGTCGTCGTCGACTCCTTTTAGCATCAGTAGAAGGGATATCTCTTCGAGTATTCTTTGTCCATTTCTTTTTATGTCTGAAGGAAACTATTTTTTTTCTCAAATATTCTCCTTGTTCGTAAAGCTTCTCTTTTTTCCATTCATTTGTTCCGATGGCCAGTAGTTTGGCCTAGAGTTAAACTGAATATTTCATTGGATGAGTTGGCTCCGAATCCCTTACCCACTAGTTTTAACGTCTTCGATCTCAATTCGTTTGACTTTTAAAATGAATTTACTCCATAACTTTCGTTTTTATAAGAAAATATTCGCATGTGTTAAGCTGCTGAATGTTGATTTAACAAAAAAAAAGAAAAAAACGAATCCTCGGCTCAAGAGTAGTAGCTTGTTGGCCAGCTACTGCTTGTGCTTCAATAAAAATGTTTTTTTTATTTCATTTCTGTTAATGAAAATAGGACTAAGACATTGTGGAGATGTTCTCAGTTCTCAAAGAAGACTTTATCCAATTACTTCTTTAGCTTCGTCAGCAAAAGAAACAAAGATGCTTCTTCTATAGTAAGCACAGAGAAGGAATGTGTGACAGAGAGAGAGATAGATAGAGAGAGAGACAAAAAACGTGAGAGAAAAAGAAGGAAGTTGAGAGTTAAGAATGAAGTTTGAAAAATGGAAAAATAAAATAACTATGTGAAATAATTATGCAGTTTTTTGAGCCACCGATTATATCTTGTCTTTAGTAATAGGAGATGCAGCTATTGAGCTAAAGAGCTTTATTATAAAAATAATATATATATAGATAGATAGATAGATATTCTCTGCTTAATACTTCACTATGGCATTTCCATTTTTAATATTCTGATACATATTGGCCAGATGATGAGGATGAAGCACGCTATTGACGAGAGGGCTCTGCCTCAAGATGCTTCTCCTTTAATTTTCTTTTTCTCTTTTTCTCTCGTTATCATCCCCCCCCCCCCATATTATTGAAGATAGATATTGTTATTAAAGCTTTCAACTAATGCCAAAGTCATTTTGTTTTCCAAATTGGCTTGTTGCGAATTATTATAATTAATTGTTTCTTTTAAGAGGCTATCTTCAGCCATCTCATCCATCTAGATACTCATACTCATACTCTCTTGTGGAGCCTTGCAACTTTTCATAAAATAATATTGAAAGAAATATCTTTTGGCATATTGCAAATACTTCCCATTTACTCTACCTATAGCTAGCCTATCGATTGTGAGTTGACAAGCATGAAGCAAAGAGAAAACTAACTAGAGACTATGTATATGCTAGAGTATTAGACCATAGTCTTCAGTCGTTATCCTTCAGCATTGGTATAAGCTTCAAGCTGGAAAGACTTCCTGAGAGAGACAAACCTGCTTGTCTAAGCTTAATCTTACATTTTTCTATTTTATCAACAGTTTTCATATTCAAATTTTATGAATAAGAAGATAAAAAGCTATAATAGGGACTGTAGTAACTTCACTTGCTAGATCTATCATTTGATGTTTGCCTTTGTATAGATTGCAAAGTGATGATGACAAGTTTATTGTCAACTATGTTTCACCTCAATCTCTCCCTCTCTCTCTTCTTCTCTCTCTCTTTGTCTTTCTTTTACTCACTCTTCCTCTCTTTCTAACTCTGTTTTCTCTTTTTACTTCTATTATTTCATTTGCCCTCTTCTATACTTCTTCCTGGCTCCTTTCCAGGTATGTTTCTGCAACGCTCAATGATATCCAATCCTTATTATTATAATTCTCTTTGCATTTACTACGATTTCATTTACTGTTCTATAAATCTTTGAAATAGTTGCTGGACAACTAGCTTCTCATACATCAATAGTATATGGATCATGTGTATTTACTTCATTCTCTCACCTTTTTTTCTCCCCCCCCCACCACCTCTTTCTCTCATAATTGATTGAAATTCGTCAGAGTCATAGTAACTGACAAGTTATCCCATTGGATATATTAATGTTTTTTTTGATATTTTACCCCACTTTTCATTCGCGTTTTTTTTATGTTTGGTTTGTGTGTTCATATGCCTTGCTGAAACTCATCATCTGCTGTTCAGCTACGACAAGATGACGAAAAGAGCCCGAACATCTCTCATTTGTAGTGCTGAAAAGCAATTTTTGACGAATTTTTTTTCTTTTTTTTTGTTTGGAATGTCTTTTTCTATTTTGTTACTCTCTCCCTCTTTCTCTGTCTCACTATCTCCACTAAAACATGCTTCGTCATATTATCGTTCAACATACGACTTGATGCTTTTCCAAAAATACAACAACTGACCTTTGTTATATTGATTTTCGTCTTTGAAAAGCTTTCAAAATTCATTTCATTTACATATTTCCTTTCGAGAATTGTTGATGCTTATCGCTTTTAATCTTCATTTGAGTTCATTTTCAATCTCGTTCTCATCACACAGCCAGTGAAGCCCCATTCTTGCCAACATTAAGCCATTGATGTGTTTTCTCTAGCTTTTCAATCTTTTTTCTCTATTAATTTTTGAGATTTTTCTCTTTTCTTCATCCAATTCATTCGTTTTTGCCTTTTCATCAGCTTGGCACTTGCTTACGTTTATTCTTTAGCCATTTGCTTCCGAAAAATGCTAATTGACGTGTGTGCCACGTGAAATTGTCCATTCATTATAGTTAGCGCGTTCTGAACGGTTGTTCTCTCCCACCACCTACTCGTTTATTCCTCATCCTGATATGAATGAAGCGGCTGTGAATGAAAATCTTCATTTTCTGAGCCATCAATGATCACAAAGTTCTTCCAACAGACACCTGTCATATTCTTTGGAAGTAGATGCCCTTTAGTCTCTATTTTTTGTAGTTCAGAACATGTGCTCTTCTGTTTATGACAATTACTTTTTTACTTCTTTTTTCTTTTTGCTTGATATGCAGAGTGTAGGAGGGGGAGAGTAGTGGTGGATGAAAATCTAAGTCGATAAGAAGGGA